TGCTGTATATAAAATAATCTTGGGAGCGGGGTAGCTCAGTGGTAGGGCACTAAGCTTACAATGCTCAAGGTCGTAGGCTCGAATTCCGGCTAATGGCAGAATAGTTATTTATTCTGTTTCATTGGCCGTGGGGCAATCCTGGGATAGGAAGATCCTGGGATAGGAAGATCCTCCTTGGGCACACCCAGCCCCTACTAAGTGGGTACCCTTAATTAAATAATTGATTAAGGAGAAAACCTGGCGGTTGAGCGTGATCCTGGCCCGATCCCCTCCCTGCACTACCGTTGGCCTTGTAACAGTACTTTCCCTAAACAGTACTGAACCCAAGACCTTTGTGAGTTGTAGGGGTACAGTTTTTTTTTTTTTAAATAATCTATAATGTTATTTTCATTTCTTTCCTCAGCAGAAAACGAGATCTTATGGACTAATTTATGGGGAAATATGGAGTTCCCAATAAGAAGATCATGATCTATGCTGAGTTCAATGAGCCTCTGACCATTTCTATTCCTGGTATGCTCACCTTCATGTAGTCCCATTACATCGTGTGCTCTAGCACGGTCTCTTCCAGTCCTTGCGTTTAGGTCACCCATTATAATAATGACTCTGTTTTAGTTTTGACATCTTATGATTTCTCTCTCTAGATTCGCATAAAATTGTTCCCTATCTAGAACTACGGCGTCTTCAGTTGGGGCATACACTTGCACAACACTTGAAGAGATTGGTTCCTAGTCTTCTACTTTGGCAAAGAGCCTTTCAGTCATTATAATGCCATCCCTTTCCTGGGCCCGCAGTCCAGCCGCCACTCCTGAGTAAATAAGCACATAGGCTTTGTCGAGTCTTACTTCTCCTTGTCCCCCCTTCTTTCTTACTTCACCAATTCCCAGTATATCTACCCTGTAGACCTCCATTTCCTCTACTATTTCAATCCCATTGCCAGTCAGAGTCTTTATGTTCCACGTTCCGAACCTGATGTCCTTTCGAGCGCCGTATCGTAACCGCTGTGTCTATCCCTAACCCAAGGCAACTTTGTCTGTTTGGAATCAATAACTCTCTCTTGTGGGTGATTATCCCAGAGACAACGGGGTCCCACCGCTAATTGGATCCCTGGATAGATTGCCCTCTCCACGGCTAAGAGCTCTACCTACCCTTCGCAGTACATCAGCCTTTTGCCTGACTCCAGCTCTGCCTGATGCTTCCCGGCCATGGACCCAGCTGACTCTTACTGTTTTCGGCTCCATGCCAGAACTGGTGCTACTGCTGCGTCACACCCGGGATTTTTATCGACCTCCCGGTCTAGATCCGCCGTGTTTAGTCGAATGCATGGCCACTTTGAGCAGGATTCGGATTTTCACTGCGCATGGACGGTCTTGGGTTTTAAGTATCCTACGAGTATCCACCTACCTGGCTTCATGAAATCCTCCACTGCACCTCTGAAATTTTGTGACGACCGTTTTCCAGGTCTACCCTAGGAGAGGCACTACCCCACAAAACTGACCCTAAAAAAAAAAATACATTCAGTATTTTAATTTCCAATATCAGCTTCATTCAACATTACTTAAAAGGAGGGATTTCCTTCACTTCCTCACCGCAGGATTGCGGCTGATTACTCATAACCACACTGAGCTTATGTATTGATATTGACTGAATGAGTCCTTAATTGTCATCCCATCGTCATAGAGAAAACAAGTAACGAAATGGAAAAAAAACAAAAAACATACAATTAAGTATTAACATGCAGTAAATTTCCATTGACTTGTTGACGAGATGATTCTAAATATCGGTAAGAGACTTCCTTTGACTGAGCTAAACAGTCATTAATAGCACAAATTTACTCAATGCTAAGTTGTTTCTTAGAATAAGGTCCCAGAAGCTGAAATTGTTTAACTGAGATCTATTTATAGAAACCATTTTCTGTAGTTCGGCATTCTTTTCTGCCCTTACGTTGATTACTCGATGCAATAAATACCAAGTTGCTATTTAAAAACCCTACAATTATTTTTGATGTTATTTAAATATACTTTTTGAAACAAGTCTCTAAGTACACTATTGAAAGAGCAATACTGAGAAGAACTTATTTGTTCATTTAAATCATATCTGTCGACGTAAATACTCATTAAAAGCTTCAAGATAATACTAGCTCTATTATATGAAAAATAGTTCACTAATTGTAAGAGCTCACCGTTATGATTTCAAACAAGAGAAAATTCATCAAATTAGGGATTTAATTTTCTAAATGTGAGTTTAGACGTTTCACAAACTATGAGAAACACAATTATCTAACTTAAAAACAGCGACGTCATTGCTATATCTAAGTAATTGGTATAACCAACATACTTTTACATTTAATTCGTCTAATTTTTCATTCGGACTTACTTAGGTTTCTCCACTAGTGGATCCAGGATTTAATTTTTTTTTGGGGGGGCGGCTTCAGCTCGAAAGCTTTTTTTTTTCATAAAAATGACGATATTTACTTTGGAAAAAAAGAAAGAAACTAGCTATCTATATGAAATGGTGTTTAAGTGATTCCTTAAGTAATTTTAAATGTAATTACACGAACAATAATACTTTAAGAGATAATTTAATATTTTTTTCCATAAAACATGGTTATATTTTACCATTTTGGGGGGAGGGGGCTTCAGCCCGAAAGTCCCCCTCTGCCCGTAGATCCGCCCGTGGGTTTCTCCTATCAAAATAATTACGGTAATATCTCTATAGTAAGAAGCTAATAGGTAACTGCAAGATTGTTGCGAGACTCTTGCGCAAGACCAACACCAACACCAAGACTGAGTGCGCAAGACCACTCGTCTTGGTCTCGCATTTGGCCAACTCTAACAAGAACCATCTCCAAGCCCACCGAAGTCCCTCACCAAATCGAGATCCAGCCCTCTCTTCTTAGTTTTTGAGGTTCATGTTTTTTTAAAGTTTTGGGAGCAAACTAGTTTTAAAGGATAAGAAAGAGATTTAATTTTCTAGAATGTTAAATGTATTTTTCTCCGGGAATCGCTCCCATTCAATTTGGGTGCCTTCAAATCATAATATTTCCATATTAACTAATAAAATAAGAATACAAAAACATAATAACAATTAAATATAAACAAAAACCAATGCAAAATAGGATAAGAAATAAATATTTTAAAATAACAATTAGACAAATGAAACACAATTTTTCCTGAAATAGTGTAGAAAGTAAAACAATAAATAAATCGTGTAAAAAAATAAAATAAGAATAGATGCAGTTATTTCAACAAATTTTTTTCTCATGCTGTGGATTTTAACTATGTTTTTTTTGCTTATTCCTTAGAAAGCTTCATTTTATTTAAATCTTTTCCAGTAATTATTTATAGTTTACTGAAGTCTCTCGCCAAATCGAGCGCTCTACACTAGATTTTTTATGTTCGTGAAACCAAACCAGTTCAAGTATTACAGAAATAAAATCATTAATTTATCAATATGTATGTGTTTTATAATTTTATATTATCATTTTTATTTAATTTGATGAATTGACGAATTTCAAGATTACTCCATCTTTTCTAAAATTATATTTAAAAAATCGATTTTTTGATAAACCAAAAAATACATAAACTGAATTTAATCTATAATAAATAAAGTTCAAACAAATTAAAGATTGCAAATTATAGAAGGAATTTGCAAAGGCGTCCCACATTAAAGGGAACAGCTTATTTGAAATCATTGTTGATTCTAATCTGGTCCAAACGCATGACACGTGGTCGTGTTAGCGACTAAGATTTTCAGCCTTGGTAATGAAAAAAAATTATACGAAACGTGTTGATTGTAGCAACAAGCCCAACTGAAGACTTCCTATCATGGCCTCCTAAATTGCCCAGAATTGCCTTAAAAGCTGTTGGAATTTTTGACTGTTAAGGTTCAGAGGACGAACATAATAAATTACTCCAATCATTTATCACCATTGGATTTTCCAGGCTGGCATCGAATCCTGTGATTTGGTATTCGTTCCGGTCGCTCTGTTATACAGAATCATGATTGGATGAATGTCATCTCTGTTGGAAAACAGTTTTTAAATTTTAAAAATCAAAGTATCTTTATGAAAAGCAAATTAAAAGCAACTGCCGTTGACGAAACTACTACACTTGCTGGACATAAAGGACCTTCACAAAGTTTCATTTTAATGACGGGTAGAGAAAATATTTCATTAGTAAAGCATTGCTACCTAAATGCGTTGACTGTGCTATACAATACACTAATCATTCTGATCAGAATATGTTGGAGAAAGTTTTATACCTCAATTCCAAAAAAGTATGGATTTTAAGGAGGTGTGAATCGAATTTCGAAAATCCTGTAGAAGTGAAATAAGAGTATGTAGTTTAACAACTTTGAATACACTTCTAATGGTATTGATAGATTCAGATATTTTAATAGTATTTTTGTTATTCTAACATACTAATTTGAGACATTGCATTCAGAGGTGACAAGTTAAAAAAGTATCGTAATAATTTTGAAAAACGATGACAAACTTTAAACCACGTGTTAACTTTAAACTTTTTTTATTACCTTAAACGGCTTCTCTACCACAATGTTATGAAAATTCGATTTTTTCCTTCCCGCCATAATATATGTAATTAAGATAACATTGCTTTGGAAATCTAGCTTATGTTTTGAAATCTTGACTTCATTAGATTTTTTGGGAAGTAGGAGGAACTCAGTGAACGAGGCAGTGTGCTCGTATCATCCGGGCAGGGGTTCGAGTCTGGCTGGATTAAATACAATATCTATTCTGTTATATAGACCATGGGAACAAGAAATCCCCCACGACCTCTTTATTTGTTTTAGGGGATGAACCAATGAATGTTGCGCAAGCTTTACTATCACATAACCTCACACTATGTCAATTGGTCAAGAAACAGAACTGTCTTATCAAATACTGTCCCCAAGACTCTTCGTGGACTTCTATTTTCTAATTTCATCTTCCTAATTGCTTCCATAATCCTTTTTCTATAATATATTTTTATTATTTGTTTCAGATTTCTAAACTACTTACATAACTGAAATAAGGCTGGTTTATATAAAATGTCAAAACAAGACGTAGAAGTTGGCAGTAGCCCACACCATTCTCCGCACCTCAAAGTCAAGAGTATCAGCGCACAGGTAATTAATTATATGCAGAATATTATGATTATTTAATATTTAAAGTATTAAATTTAATTAATATTTTATATATATTTAATGTATTTATGTATATTGGTTTATGTATTTCATTTATCTATATTTAACTTATTATTATTGAACTGATTTTATTTAGTATTGAAAAGTACACAACCGATTTCAGTAGAGGGCCGCTCTCAAAGATAGAAATATTTTGATAGAAATATTACTATAATGATTTCCACTTTATCATTTATTTTAGCTGTTTATTTTTATATTCACTTTATATTTTAGCTGTTGGCGGCATGCTCCAAGTATCTTATCATGCTCAACATTGGGATGGGTATCAGTTACCCGACGATTGCCATACCGCCAATCCTCAACTCCAGCACTGGCCTGTCCCTCAACCAGGACGAGGCGTCTTGGTTCGGTGAGTCCTACAACATCTCCTAAGTCATTATTATAGCTATGGGACCTCGGGACCAAGTTAAGAAAAGATGTCAGTTTGAATTGCGCAAGTTTGTTTTGTACTGAAATATAATCATAATAAAGATTTTATGTTGTATTACACGTGAGGATATAATTTATAAAAAAAAAAATATTTTGGTTTAATAACTATACTAGCTTTGCAGACTCTGTAATCTCCAAGAAAACTGTGACGTCTTCGACTCCGCAACATCTTGTTGTCAATAAAGATAGAGGGTAATAATGATAAAATCTCTTCGATGCTCATTGCAAATATCCAATGGAAAAAAAAGATCACATAAATTTGAGCTGCGATAAAGAACGTGTATAAGGTAGAGATTGCACTTTTCAATTAGTATAAAAAGGTTCAAATTTGGGACTGGGGGCGTGGCCTCATTCCACCATGCGGTGACGTATACCACTGTTCAATACGATATATTCTCCTTAAACTTATAAACATGCATTCATAAAAGCTAATAAAATACATTTTATACTAAATACTTCTATTCAGAGATAACAAGGTGAGAGAAAAACGGAAAGATATACCTTGTAATTAGATAGAAGTTTTGAAGCTGAAAAAACTATTATAAGCTAAAAATTGTAAGATACTGGAATGTATGACCTAGGGGCATTGCATGGCATGGCGTACCGAGTTCTTTGTCCTATTCAGCCTAATACACTCGCCACTGCTCTTTAATGTGCCCTTCTGACTCTTTATAAAGTTATAGCCCCCTCCTCCACCGGATAACCCAAAAATACTACTTTTAACTACCCAATTATTTCATGATTTTCTCACCATCCGTGGGAAAGAAAAAATTATTGCTTTTCGATAGTTTAGAGTACGTACTCAATTCAAACTGACAGCTGCCTGAGGTTCCGTTTACCCCAACAATTACGGGGTCTGGCTCTTTGTATGATAGTGTCTCCAAGATGCTTGAAAGTTCAATAAATGATAAGAAATTTGACAATCTGTAAAGTGTTTAGACATCTAGTAGTTATGAAGTACAGATATCAATGACTGATAAAACATTTGTTATGCAATACAACTAATCAAATCGTATATATAGAACTATCGATAATCGAACAGCAGGCATAGTCCGGGACTAGGTTACACAACTTATGTTCCTCCATGATTCTCATTGCCACATAAATATTAAGCTCCATTTGTAAGCAATGGAGATATAGTAATCATTTATTAGTTAATTCTAAATGGTATATGATTTTATGCACACAACCTTTCTTTACTTCTTCGACTATCTCAAGCAGAGTTTTATTTCTAAGTTATCAGCACAAAAAAGTTAATTTATTTACAACAGAGTATTTCAATTAATAAAATATGATTTTAATATAATCCACACCATTGTCTATCAATTCTTTTTTCTAATAATATTGACCCATTTTGGATCAAATTAAACAAGACTAAAGCTGTTGATGCTATAAAGAATAAAATGAGCCTTGGAAAACATCCATATGGGAGATATAACAAGATATAACCCGTTGTATTAAACATTAAAAAAAAATTCACAGAAATCTTATTTTTTAGTTATATACACATAAGATAGGGAGTATAGGTACTGGTCACTTGCGGATTCAAGATTTACTTTTGGGAGAGCTTCAGCCAGAAGGATTTTTTTTTTTTAATATATAACGATAATTACTTATGAAGAAAAAGAAAGAAGCTAACTACATATTAGAACTTTTTTTTTCCTATGCCTTAGTCATTGGTCTTTCGACCATCCAACACCTTGCTGCCCAGTATAAGTTTGATTTATTTATATAATCATTTACATATGTTTTACTCCTAATATCCGTCAAAGCAGGGCATTTGTTTAGGTGGTCTGCATCCATTTCCGCTTGTTCACATAATTTACACCTATGTACAAAGACATATTAGAAATATTAAGACACTAAAACCTAAATAAGTGATTCTTTAAGTACTATTAAATGTAATTACACGAACAATAATATTTTTAGAGGTAATTATTAAATAATTCTTTCATAAGATATGGTTATATTTTACAATTTTGGGGAGGAAGCTTCAACCCGAAAGCACGTATGTCCGTCTGTGGTACTGGTACTTGTAGGGGAACTTGATTTCCTAATTAGTGGACAGACTCCGTGGTGGAGACATTTCTAGGACACATTCGGTCCCTATTAAGGCAGAATAGTGCAGTTTTATATCAAGAGTCCAATATAATTTATCAATAAAAATTTAGTATTTTTGTTGTCATGTAGTAAATAATAAATTTTTAAAATATTCATTTTTCTCCTCTATTGCCAAATTAATGATCTTAACTATTAACAAAAATAAATTTCAATTCGCAGAGTACAAAGTTTTTTTTACTTTCGAAAATGTTTAAGTCAATTGAAAATTATTCAAAGTTGAAATATAGTAAACCACTGGGGAATAAAATGTTTCTTATGTCGTAAGTAACAACTTTTTCTTGGCAAACAGATGAAAATTCGCTTTAATAAGGCTTATTATTTTTTTCCATTTATTTTATTTTTGTAATGCATACCTGAGGTATATTCAATCAGATCCCTCAATCGTTTATTAATAGTTCTTAAACGGATATAAAATGCATCCCCACCTCCCTCTGAAAACTTTCAAGGTCTATTATTTTCGGAGAAAATGAGAATAAAATATAACAATACAAAATTCCCTATGTTTCACTATAAAATTCGATATTAAAATTTCTAAATTTAGAATAATGATATGACTTCGCTAGATGCTCTCGAAGAACTCAACACAGCCTCCTTTTTTTCCCTTTGCTCTAGCCGCATTTTTTCTATTGTTTCCTGAAAATACTGAACTTCTCTCAACAAAGTAATACCAGGTTCAATATAAAGCAATACGAATTGCTTCCTAGTTCTTTGATAAGTTAACAAGCTGCAGTGATTAAGCTGTTACTTTAACAATGAACGAGTTTAGAGATGCGGTTGCAGTCTGTATGAATAGTTGCCTCATCTTGTTCTACAGTACGTCCGCGAGAATAAAACATCGCAAGGAAGAATCTCAACTCCAATTAAGAGTAGAGGCCTTATACTGTTAGTGTGAGGGTCCCGATGATTTATTGGAAAATATTTGAAAAACCAATCCTCTCCACCAAAAATAAATAAAAAAAATACATCAGGATTTGTAGAAATACAGGTTGAGTTCGAGTATGAGTCTGCATATTCTACACTTCAAACCTCTCACCTCCCGATTCCCATATTTTTAAAATGTTGAAAATCCTTGTGAGAGAGAGACTTAATAAAAAAATTCATTCTATAATCAATATATTCTAAGGATCACAACAAACGACAGGCCATATAGGACAGTACTCCTGACATTTCTCAGGTAATGTAATGTAATGGGACTGCAACACAAATTATCTTTAGTGGCGTTTATTTTAACTCAATGTTGTGATAACAAATGCATAATAAAAATCCTAACCTTACCGTAAAAAAAGATTGAAAAATAATTATTTGTAAAAAGAAATATATATATATATATATATATATATATATATATATATATATATATATATTATATATATATATATATATATATATATATATATATATATATATCGTGTCCCGTAAGTTGAGGAATTATTTACAATATCGATAGTAGACATCAAGATCTACAAAAAAGTTAGTATAAACAATCTCCCGATTTTCAGCAGAAAAGTAGGAAATTTAAGAGCTGTTTTTTTTTAAGCGATTCACGTTTTTTGTTGAATAGGAAGCGGATAACTTAAAAAATATTTGATTTAATAATAATTAAATATAGCTCTATAGTAAACTAGACAAAATTTGCTTTAAACGATATTAAAGTTCATTAAAACTCTTTAAAGAGGATTTGTGAGCGGCTAGAAACAGCTAAGTTCTGTTTAAAAAAAAAATCATAAATTATTTGTATTTTTTTTTTCACCCTTTAACTGTACTACATTTACCTCGGTTTTAGAAAAACTTTCTCGTTTAATAAGCTTTAAGTCACTATCAATTAAGTTGTGGTATGTTAGGAAAAATTTTGAGTTTCACCTCCAGTTGTGTAAAGAAATGATGTTATTTTCTAAACAGTCATCTTAAAGAACCATGTTTTATGCAGAAATGATTACATTTGACTATTCCAAAGCTTTTATTTCTTGTTTTTCCGTGATATGGGATGTTTCGTAATAGACATAATAGCCTAATACACATTTTACTTATAAATACGAAAAAATTAAAATAATGATTTTTTGAATATTTTTCACGTATAGTGGTTATGAAATGTCATAGGAATTGATATGTGTTCATCAGTGACAAACTTAATGTTCTTACTAAAATTTACGTAAGAAACCTTATGGTTGCTTCAATTGTTTTCATGAAAACGGGAATATTAGGTCTATTAAAAATATTTTTAAACTTCTGAAGGAATAGAAGTTTCTCTACTTTCAGTATCAATGAAGAAAATCATTATAATGTTTCATGGTGGAAAGTGGTAAGAGATAGACTTGGATTCTTCACTCGCTGATAATATATACTAACAAACCAAATCATTCCATCTATGATTGATAAGTATGCAAGTGTGTTTGTATGGTGACTGAGCCGACCCCTACGAAAATACATTAGATATGTTCAACTTACCTATACATAAATGATTACAGTTATTCAATGTTACAGAACAATCATGTGCTAGAGGATAAACTGCTCTGTAACTCGAGGGGTAATAATATTTTGTAATTGTACAACAAATAAACATTTACAATAGTGTTCAAATGTTGCTTTAGCACGAGACATTAGAACGAGCAGGTGGGAATATCCTCCATTATTAATCAAAATATTTTATTTTATTTCTTTTAAAATATAATGCTCTTAACAAGTAAATAGTTAGTTCTACATTTAGTGATATTTAACTGGCTGAACGTCTGGGCGAGAGAAAATCCTCAGTTGTCTACTAGCCCTCAGCAAGAGATAGGCCACAGAATATATTATAATTAATATTGTTATTTTCTTCCAAGGGTTTTAATTGATCTTTAAGTTGGGAAATAACAGTTATCAAAATAGCAAAACCTTTTGCATCTTAAAAACTCAACGATATGCTTGAATGTCAGTTGTTGTAAAAAACAATTAATCAATTATCTGTTCATAAAAACATATTATGTTGATTGTAATTGATATTTTTAACTGTTATTTGGAAATAAGTTTTGTAATTTGAACTAGAGATGGGAACTGTTGATGGACTGATTCAGAGAGCTCGTTTTATTAAGTTGATTTTTATTGGCTGGGTTCAAAGTAACCAGATTCAAGAAAATCTCAAATGTAGAAGTTTTTCAAAGTGGTGGATCTTTGAAAATATGTAGGTCATTCTGCTATCAAAATCATATAAAAGAGCTATTCGATCCATGTTTTAAGAAAATCTTCACATCCGCTGTGATACAAAATGTTTGTGATACAATGCCGATCTCTAGTTTGAACTATTAATTATGAATAATAGTAGGCCTATCTCTACTTTAAACTGATCATTGCACATCTGTCTCTTTCCATTCGGGTAGACCTACTGAGGACTTCCTCTTAAAACAGCTGTTAACACGATTGCAATAACACTTGAGAGAAAGTATTTTGGGAAAAAAACAAAATTAGGGAAATTTTCAGTGAATCTAACCCTTCTCGGTTGAGGTTGAGCGCATGTGCTTGTGTCTTTATTGTTAAATCTAATTATTAATACATAAGCTACTTTCAAAAGGCGGAATGATGATTATTTGTTAATAAATGTAGTATTTTTTTTTTGTTTGGTTTTTTCAATCACACAAAAGGTTTAGTTAATTAATTTTTTTAGATTAAAACTTAACTGCTTGATTTTTTGTTTTAACATATATGATTTGTAAGATAGTAGCCATTATTTATCTCTTGTTTGGGTATAGCTTGTTTATTTTTTTCTTTCTTTTTTTCTTCCTAGCTTTAAGTATTATAATACTTTGGGGCTAAAGCCCCCTATTTTTTATAATTATTTTTATGATGTTATAGTTCTCCTATTGCCCTCCTGTCGGAGAATTGTAGTATGCCGCGAGACTTCAAAAATTTTCTAGAGATATTACAAAAGGGTACAAAAATAGGTATTATGCAAAATTATAACGCATCTGTAAATAAAATTAGATTTCACAATTGCATGATGAAGTAAGTTTGACAAAGATATTTTATTTCCATTAATTATGGATCAGAAAGAAGCATAACTAATGTTGCTTAATTCCCTTTGTTCATATTTGAGCAATTATTCTTATGAAATAATACTGAATTAGCGTAGCAATCTCTAAGTTTTTTATTGTATTTCATTGTTCGTACCTTTCCAACATCACGACCAGGTAAGTTAATCATTTATAATATTAAAGTATGAAATATATTTTACTTTAATAATATATGACATTCACTATTGGTCTATAGAGGCTACAGTCAGTATTGAAGGCATATTCGATTCGGAGGCATATATTCACTAAGCCTATTTTTTAATCTGAATTATGTTATGCCTCTCCCACTTCCAAACGTTATTCTTCCTCGTTTTTCAACTTTCATGGCGTTACTAGTTCTGTAGTTATTGAAATTTCTACATCTCGCAGTCTTCATAGTTTCATTAATCATTTATATTTATAAATACTTTGTATATCGTATTCCAGCATCGTTCTCCGATTCAGATATTCTCCAAAACCTCTACAATCAGCTATGGATTGCCATATTTCATGTTAAGAACTCTCTAATATGAAATTTCAATCCCAACAACATTCATAGCCAGCTTGAGAAAGCGAGTCTTCACCAGATACCTTCAGCTGATTGTAAATCAAATCGAGTAGTGAATCTGTTGAATCCCCTCAAACAGTATATCCTTAATATCCCAGATAGGAGTCTTGTTAGGAATCGAATCACCAAGACCAGCCATATTAATTTGCTTCATCCAAAGAAAATGAACAACTGCAACACGCAGTGGGGCAACACGCAACACGCCCATCCTCTTCATGAATGAACATTTCAAATTTCAACATTCAGCCTAGTTTATTCTTTATTCGTAGACGGAAATCGAAAAATAAATTGTACATATTTATATTGCAGTGGATATTTACAATGCATTATTTCTGAACTTCATATCAGATTTGTATGATTTCTCATAATCTTGTTGGTAAATGATATTAAGACTTGTGGTCGTTATTTTTCGTCTATATTGTTTCTGTTGCTTGAGATTTTAGGTTAGATTTAAACTGTCCTTGCTAGTTTACAAAACAATCGCCTATTCAGATAAAATGATGTGGATTGGCACATCTTGAGAAATTCCAGGACAATAGTTATAGAAAGTTTGGTTTGCTAACTAGTTAGAAGTGTATAGTCTTTCGTGAGCTCAAAATACATTTTAGTCGATATTCGAGGAACGAATGAGTAAAGATTTATGGGTAGGCGTTGGAAGGGATGTGGTAAGGCCAGCACACAAATTTTGTCATAATGATGGTGAGAATTTGTAATGTTTTTGCCTTTGAACTTTGCAGCCAGCCTCGTCTTCATCTGGCAGCCCGTGGGCTCCATAACCTCCGTGCCCATGTCCGGCCTAGGCAGGAAGAGGTCCATGTTCTATCTCCAGATTCCTCTCTTCATAGCTTGGATCCTTCCTTTCTTCGCCGAGACTGTCTGGGAACTTTACATAGCGGCTTCCATCATGGGTCTTGGTAAGTGAAACTTATTTCAAGCTGTTTAGGTTATGTAATCATCATCAATCAACTTAATCTAGCAGTCTACAATATATAAAATATATCACTACACAACAAAAGTAACATAAAAATTTATGGACTGGTCTTAGTGAATAAAATATGCATTTTATAATATTTTTTTTAAATTTAATATAAAAGAGCGAAAACTCGAAAAGAGATATAAGTTCATCGATAGAATTACTGTTGCTCAAAATCGGTCTTGGTCTTCTTGCACTTAGCAAGACCAAGACCAAGTCCGCCTGACTGTTGCAAGACCAAGGCCAAGACTGGTAAAAAAAAAATCGATTTTTAAAATAGAAATTAAGGCAAAATAGTTACTAATACTTGACAATCTTCGTTCTGTTATGTTTGATATAACCAATAATTGGTATAACCAATATAGTTTTGCATTTTACTACTCTAATTTTTTATTCGGGCTTAGTTAGGTTTTCCTATCTAAAAAATTACAATAATATCTCTACAGTAATATGGTAATAAGTAACTGCAAGACTGTTGGGAGATTCTTGCGCAAGACCAAGACCATGACCAAGACTGAGTTTACAAGACCAAGACTAGCCTAGGTCTCGCATTTGGGCAACACTAGATAGAATATATTTGGAAAACTTCTAATCACAAGTCGTGTGTCTAAAATGCAGGAAAACAAACCAATAATTTAATGTTTCACCAATCCACGTGTTCCTGATACATAAATCATAAAATAAATAAATGATTTTTGTATAAAATCTTTTTAAAACTGCCAACGGTGGAATTTAAAAGACAATAATCCGTTTTGGTATGTAATCTTTAAAGATGCGCATTTAAACATCATAAAGTTCCCTGAGCTGTACAGTTTACTACTAATTTCCTATTTCTTGGATCTCTTTGAAGTATTCTTCCTCTTCTCTTCGAAAAAATATTATAAATATACAGTTTCTAGATGGTTCAAACATCAATGGATGGTAAAAAAAAAAAAAAGACGGATTTCTTGATAGATAAAAAGTTTCTTTGTGAGTGTAACCAAAGCTGTCCTTTCCTATGGAGAATCAAATCAAATGATCAACAGGCTCGGATGAAAGAAGAAGAAAAGAAAAGGAAAAAGAAAGGTTTTAAATGGTGCTTTTTTATATGCATGCAGATTTTTTATTTGATAGCACTGACGAATGTTTTCCGCAAAACAAAATAGAAAAAGGACCTAAGCTCTCCCCTCGAGAGCCGCGTCTAAGACGGACCACATACCGAGATAAAAAAATATATTCACTGTAATATGATTTTTTTAATTACAGCATGAGATTCTAGATCTAGAGATTCACAAAAACGCACAAACATGAGGAAATAGGCTACTGACCGATTTGGATGGATGGGAGGATTTTTCCAATAAGATCTCCAATAGTAAAAATTAATTCAGAAAATTGTACATTACAATACAAAATCGGTAAAATATTTTCTTTCTTTTTTTTTGACATTTACTAATTTTCTTGAAGGATACAAATGATTTAAATTGCAAATTTTCAGCTATCTACTCTGGCAGAAGGAAAGGCACATCTGACAAAATCATACGACCATTCTTCCATATTTATCTTACTTCTACACAACAAATCTCAAAAAAGTATCCAATAAGAGAGCGAACATTAAAATAAAATATGTAAATGGACACAGTTTGTCTATTAAAGGACACAGTACTTAAAAACTGACAAGTAGTGGAGATTTTATATGTTATGTCAAGCAGATACCAATTATAGTTAAAATAAATAAATTTTAGGGATAAAATGTAATTTAAATTTAGTTATTTTTGTAATGAAAACAAAGTTTTCAAAATTTATAAGTTGTTGGGCTAATACTTAAGTACCTTTGTTTGAATCTAAAAATATAATTTCACTCAAATTGCTGTCCGGAGTCAGAGTCATAGTCTACTTGTGCATAAATACCATTTAAAAAAAAAATTAACAATAGAAAAAAAAATCTTTCCTAATCACTTCCACCTTCAATCAGTATTTCCAATATAGCTCATACACTCTCTATTTATTTATGAGCTTCCCCACCGTATTTATTAGTATTCTCTTAAAATCAGGTGGTATTAGCTTTTTAAAAATTTAACTTCATTTCAGGAATCGGATTCATGCAGGCTCCTATCGCTACATACATTGGAGAGGTTACCCTGCCACAGTACAGGGGTCTTCTGGCCTGCATAGCCTACTGTTTTCTCACCCTCGGCTCGGTATGTGTCTACGCTATAGATGTCATTGTGGGCAACTGGAGGTACACTGCCCTCTATTGTGCTGTAATGCCACCGCTCACTGCGATTCTTCTTTACATTGTAAGTATTTTAGTAACTATTTATAGGCACTTAACATGGATGTGGATAATATCCTTCCTTTCCTCTCATATTTTTGATATGAAGGACACAAAAAATTTAGATTATTTTTCCAGTCTTAAAATAATAATTTAATTAGATGCATTTTTTATTTATCTCCTTCACTCATTTTTATTTACTTTAGACTTTTACACTTGGGTAATATGTGGTATTAAAGTATTGATAGATATTTAAAGGGAAAGAGGGCTACTGCTTTCCTCCTCACTCTCTTCAGGGCCTACCTGCCCCAAGAACATTTGGTTAATAATTGTTACTATTAGAGACCGGTTTTCGTGCAGTGAAAAACCAAAAAACATGTAATATAAAACTCAAAATGTGCAAAATTAAGAACTCAAAAAGTATAAAATAAAAATATGCAAACATCATCCATCATCTTTGTTTAATTTACAATATTAATGCTTGTTTACTCTTGTGCTAAGAATTACAGCCTCTAAATTAAAGTAACATAGGTATAACGTATAGTAATGTGAGAAAAATCTAATTCTAATTTAAAACAAACATAATTCTAATTTAAAGAATTTAATTCTATATGAATGAATGTTAACTTAATTCTCTATATGAAAGAAGAAAAACAACTTCCAAAAATTAAACACTTTTTTTTTAAAATGTGCATTTTTGAATTGAGGCTTGATTTTACAGCTGTTTTAAATTTATGAAAAAGTGGATTTTGAGTTAAGTTCCTTAGTTTTTATTAAAATCCATAGTCCCTGGAATAACCCTGCAGCGTTTTGTCAAAAAACATTTCAAAACAGTGAAAACTTTTATTAACAAAAACTTTCATACTTGTTTGTTTGAAAATTGAAAAATAAATATACACATATTTTGGAACCGCAAATAACAGAATCATAAGAATAAAGGGCTTTGGAAGTGATTATGCACCAACATTAAATTAAATTATTAACTATGTTACCACCAATTACACTATTATTTATATAATAAAATGTGTGTACTTGGATAGTAATTTTATTACAAGTACAGCTTAAAATATCTTTTCATCCCAGAAAGGTAACTTGAAAATGTTATTTTGAATAAAAAAATTAAGAACATAAACTTTAAAAACTATGGCTTTGTGAAGTCAATGGATTGGACACCCCTTAACTCAACTACGAGTTTAATATAATTAATAATAAAATTAAATAAATATTTACACACATACCTAAATACATGTTGTAAAGGAAATTGGGTTCTAGTATTTTACTTCATTCTATTAAAATTTAAAATTAGCCTTTAAATTTCAAAATATGCATTATCATGCAACAAAAACCAAAAACGTGCAATTAGGCTGAAAATGCCAAACTGCAATTTCGTGCAAAATGAAATTTCAACATATTATTCTACAGGCCATGAAATGGATAGATTATCGGGTTTGAAGTTTTAACACCTAAGTGAAAAAGATGTGTAAAAACATGAAAATTCGGTTTCTAGTTATGATTATTATTGAATTATTTCAAATCAGAAATTTTCTCTCAAATAGTAATTACATGACTAGATTGATAATAATAATATATATTATTTCTTAGACAACTGATATGGCATGGGTTAAAATATTCCTACAACGCCTAATATCAAAGTTGGTCCAAATTGATAAAGCTGTTCTGCAGTTTAGATTCAGAGAATGTAATGTCAATTAGTATAGAACAAATGCTCCAGAACATCAAAGTACAAAATCTCCAAAAACAAATATCAATTTTTCTCACCACATTTTATTGGCAACCATAACAATAAAAATTGTTTAACTGGATTGCATAAAAAAAAAACAATGCTTCCCTACCTTCGGTAGTGAGGAAGCAAAAAAAATAAAATAAAAATCAATTAATAATAAGGTAACAACTATAAATCCTGTAAATACTGTTTTTATATCTTTCTAATACTTTCATATAAACCATAATTTTTAATATTTTTTTATTAAATCCTATGTTTGAGGCAGATTTTGTCTTTATATTAAATCAATTGTTGTTTACTGGTAACTAATGATTTGTTTTTAGATTCCGGAATCCCCCATTTGGTTGGTTTCACAAGGGCGCTACGCTGAAGCCAAGAAGGCCCTCTCATGGCTCAGAGGCTGGGTGGCTGAATCCGAAGTTGAACAAGAATTTAAGACAATGCTAATCCACAATTCTCCTAAATTTGCTGCCCTGGTAAGTCAAACATAAATTATATTTTCTTATTTTTATATTTTTAGTAGTTTAAAAAAAAATATATATAATTTTTTTTTTCATTCATTTTATGGGCCAACAATGGTATTAATTGCTTGCTATACTGACAGTTTGGTGGCTGTCATAAAGAAGAAGAGCAAACCACTAAATGCCATCCTCCTATAGACAAATTTATTGTGGTTATTCCTTTTGATGCCGCAGTAATCAGCCATTGCTTCTAACTTCTAATAGGAAAGCCTGTATTGTCGACTAACTACTAACGACTACTAACTCTTTCCAAACCTGAATTGAAAGGCTGCAAAATTGTAATTGAGTGTAACTTTAGTTACAAATTTTCACTTTGTCACAATGGAGAACCTGTCCATTCAGGATTACTAGCAAATGTAAAGCTCTGTTAGCACAAAAGCTCATTCAAAATTTTGCTGTAATCTTTAATATAGTATTCTCAATAACTTGATGCCAATGGATATGTTCTTCACAAGTTATATGAATCTAGCTTAGAATATTTATTAGTGTTCTAAATTTTGTTGTGATTCTTAATTGTAATAACAATGGAATGTGCAATAATACCAGCTATTTAGGAGTAAATTTTTGTAATTATTAATTCATCAAGGACTAAAAATGAAACATTATTGCTCAGGTTGACAATGAAATACCATCTGTGTCAGGAGGTTTCGAAATGGATTCAAATGAACAAGTTAAAAATGAAACTTACAAAGAACTTAAGGATGAACAGTCCAATGTCACCCAAACAGACGTTGATACAGGACTTGAAATTACAAAACCTAAGAAGACTGAAGATGAGAAAGAGAAGGACACAAACTGGAGTGGAAATAAAAAGGAAGAAGAACCATTTATTCGCTTCATAGGCCGCCCTGAGATGTACAGGTGAATATAATTCATTTATAATCTATTGCTATATCTGGTGCATTAGAATCTTACTGCATCTTTATTTTCATTTAACTTCCCATATACCCTGTTCGATGCTAAATATTTTCGTTTATCAACCTGTCCCTCCTCTACAATTGAAAATTGATGGGTTATAAAACTTAATATTCTGAGTAAGACAGAAGAAAATATTTTTAATGAATTAGTCGAGGGAAAAAATTTTATATTTGTTTAAAATAATTTTTTGATAATATATTTAATAATTGTTAGATAAATTCATAATTTATACCACTGTTGAATACCAGGTAACAGTTTAAAAAAATTATGATGATTTACACTTCACTACATTTCATAATGTACTAATTCAATGATTTTGTGAATTTCAGACCTCTTCTGTTGTCTGCTGTTTACTTATACCTATCGAATGGAATAGGAGTTGCAGCTTTTCGGCCTTATTTAGTGTTGATTTTCAGAGATTTCAGAATTGAATTCATTGATGAATACATCGCAACTGTGAGTACTTATGAGTAAGAAATAACCTAATGGTGGCCTCTGACGATCACCCACTCCAACTTTCCATTCTTACTGATAGGAAGTGAGTGATAAAGTAGCAAGAACATTAAATAATTTAATCTTTACAAAAAAATATATATAAAAATAGTGGACATTTAAAGTTGATTAAAAACCCTCAAAAACATTTCGTTTAAATTTATATTTTTAACATAATTAATAGTAAAAAAAAAAATAACAAAATTGTGATTTATTTACAGAAATTCTTATGAATATGTTTTATTCAATCCACATAGTTAAATTTTAATTTGTATTGTATTGATTGACAAACTATTATTAATATTTTGTTAATTATATTTATGTCTATTATTATTGTTATAACATTTCATGACTGAGTAGAATGGTTTTAGTTTAGATTTTGAACTTTTTAAAGATGTGAAGAAATCTAGGATTGATAGAATTCCAGCCAATCCGAATCATTAAAAAACAATTTCAAGAGGATTTCATGCTCATGATCTTTCCATCTTCCAATTGGTATGAAACAATTGGAGTGAAGCGATTGTCACTAGCCACCTTAAAAAATGATAGAAATAAGAAGAAAGAAATATGATAATGATATATCACTGGAAATTTTCTGCTTAAAAAATCATGAGACAATATACCAATATAGTATACAATTTTTCCTAGTGATGCATTTATTAATTTACAAGAGAATGAATAAATATCCAAAACAAAAATTAAATTTTTAAAAATTGATCATACTTTATGTTGAAAAATGTGGTAGAAAAGTTACGTAGGCTCTATATGTAACTTTTCTACCACATTTTTCAGTAGTTGTTTTAGTGATATTTCTTGTTGGAAAATTTATAATATCTGTACAGTGATTCGGTTGATTTCAAAGTAGGTGATTGCAGTGTTGAAATATAGAACTGCGAATAAAGGTATACGTTTTCACAGTAGAAATATCACCAAAATTAATAATAAAAAATGTTGAAATTGGAGTTAATCATTCTGTCAACTGAAAGGTTCATATATAAACCATAAATAATTAAAATGCAGATTCAAAAATATATCATGGTTACAAGATCATTAATTAAAATGCTTAATAATTACATATGATTTTTTTATTATTACTTATATATAAAAATATATTATTTATAAATGATGTATAACTTATGGAATGATATTTAATTTATAATTTATAATTCAATAAATTATACTTATATTTATTTATTAAAATATAAAAATGTCACTTATAAAGTTTACATAATGGCTTTAATGATGAATTTTACTTTTAATCTTAAAAGTTTGCCAACCACTGGCCTGGCCCAATTAAGAGTATCCACTTTAAAAGAGTTGGGTGTGCTCCTGACCTCATAGTTGATCCAGTTTAACAGAATAAATAATTTATCTGCATCAAAATAGAATTTTTAAATCTTTATTGTTATTTTTTTGTCAAATATCTTTGTATATATTTTTTAAATTAAATTTGTTCCAATTTGATATAGTATTGGAATGAATTTATAATTATAATACTATCTTTCTCAATTGAGAAATTTTAAAATGTAATCTATTTAGCCAATTAGAATTAAGGATGCCAAGGTTTTAAAAATGGTTGCACATTTGATTAGTTTTATACTACGTTACTGGTGGTACTCCATAAATCCTGTAGCATTTATGCTGTAAGATTCTTCTCAAATAGTTAAAAGTTTGATCTATTGATTTTATAACTATCAAACAATGGAATAGTGGGCATTATGGGTCTTATAAAAACATTTTTCTACAGTTAGAAAAAACTTACTCGAAAGCTATGAAAAAAAAATAAATTGTTCCTGTAAGATTGATAGCAAATGTTTGTTTCTGATGTTCTCTTCATTTATGAGGCAACCTATATGTTGAATTATAAACGTACTTATAAAACATAACTTATAAATAAACCTGGATAACTAATAAATGTACAGGTCCTTGTATTAAATAACACTTTATAGTCTAAATACCTTTTTTTATCCTTCAATTTAATAATTTTAAGGACTTATCAAATATCTCAATTGTCAAAATTTAAATATTAATTATAATACTTTTATTGATTTATTATTTTTTCTTTTTGTAAAACAATTTCAATAATAATAAAACAATAAGGATTTTTTAATAGTCATAATCTTATCTAATTTTTGATAATTGTATTTTTACTAATTGCTTTTAGATTGCTGTCACAACTATTGGTCTAGTCGGAAACATAGCATCTGTCGTATTGATGCCACTTATTGGAAAACGTCGACTAACTATAATAGCAATTATTTCATGTGCTGTTGGATGTTTTGGAATTGGTATTTATAAAGTTATCGATGATTATCAACCCATTCCACCTAACATGACTTGGTTGGCTATTGCCTTTATGATTGCGATATTTTTTGCAACTAATCTTGCAGTTGGTCATATGCCTTGGGTACTGATGTCTGAAATATTTCCTCTCAGGTAATATGATAGTTTTTATTATTTAATGTTGTACATGGTTGTGTGTGTATAGAGAGAGCAGTATGGGGTAAGTGCACATTACTTATAAAGTTTGACTTCAAATAATATAAATTACTATATCCCAGAACTCTTAAATTAGATAGCTATTCTTTTCCATAATCTATTTGATGTATAAGCAACATCAGCAAAACATGTTTATTCATATATAGAATGTAATATTATCAAGATAGTTTATTCAACAAACAATACTTAAAGTAATAATTTACATAATGAGTGTTTTGCAGGTCCCACTGCAAAATGTTTCTGCAGTGTAATAGTTAGTTAATAAGACACAATAATTCCCTGAACTTATAGCAATACAACGTTGTGCTCGCTCAATGAACCTATTTGTTTGGTGCATTAGAGCCTTGGTTTGTAGTTCTCTCACTATGAGTATATAAGTCTATTACTGAGAGTATAAAATAAAAGCCATACCTGAATATTATTTATTTTATTTATTATATATTTCAAAAAGTTTATTTTTATATTATCTGAAGTTCCCAAGGAATCTTAGAGCTATTTTCCTCCATATTACTATTCCTTGATCTACCTTTTATATTGATGACTGAGGCAAAAATTTTATAACAAAATTTATCTGTTTTGATTTGTTGACTTAGAAACCATCTGAGTTTTGAAACCTCCTAATTATTTCAATGACTTTTATTAAATTTGCTTCAATGTATTAGCTTCAATGGGTACTCCTGTAACTCATTATAGTTCACACCTTTCAACTCTTATGGTTGCTCTGTGAAACATTGATGTTCAGAATTAATGCTCCCAAAAATGACAGCTCAAACAGTTCAGGATTTAGATTTAACAAGATGATTAAGCACTTACCCCACATTAGTCAGGTGAAATTTTCTCTATTTCAATAATGTTTACAAAATGTTATAAATTCTGTCCATATATTGTCATTGTCATAGAATTATTTATTTATTTGTTTGTTTGCCTCTTCCCGCTAGGGTCATTGGTAATCCTCAATTCTCTAACACTTTTCATATTCTATTGTAGAAACCAATTGTTTTCAAGAAATCCAGTAAGATTTTCACTTCTCTCTCCGCATCCTACGACATGTCCCGGATAGTCTCATGCATATTAAGGTTCTTCCGGATAACCGCATAATGTGTACAATCCACGAGTATACGGTTCACAGTTCTAAGAGAACCACATCTGATGTAGGTAGGTGGTTCTCGACTGTGGAGAAGGTAACCATGCGAAAATTCAGTGACCAATGCTGAGGCGGCACAGGATTATTTCCTCCCTTCTAGACCTCCTGTAACTCGTACACCATTTAGCACTACAAATGATATGTTGTTTGATTCCAACCATAATTCAGGGTTGTACATGCAACCCCTCAAGCGGCATTGCATTTGTTTTGGATGCCGAAATAACAAAACCGCTACTTCTCGACCATTCCTTTGCTTTGTTTAAAGCTTCTTGAATCTTCCATTTGATGAAATTATTCGATTTACTGGAGATAAATAACAGGATATCATAACAGTTTTGCGAATAAAACAACTTTCGTTGGTTTTTCAATAACTGTTGCTAATTCATTAATGGTGATTAAGAACAATCTAACACTAAGTGGAGAGCCTTGTGGGGTACCGTTTCTCAGCGTGTGGGTTGCAGAGTGTGAGTTTCCAATCCTAACGCAGAATTTTCTATCATGCAGGAAGTTTTGTATATATCTATATAAATTTCCTGTTATATTCCAGAATCTTAATATTTTCAGCACTCGTTCTCTCCACATTGTGTCATATGCCTTTTCAAGATCCAAGAATATACTAATTAGGTATTCCTTTCGAGAGAAAGCTTCTTGTGATTCTTCATTTAATATTAGTATTGGATTGATTCTCGATAAATTTTCTCTGAACCCAAACTGCTGGATTGAGAACAATTCTTTCCTTTCTATTACATTTTCTAATCAAGTATTTACCATCTTCTCTTGAATTTTCGACAAGCTTGAACAAAGGGATATAGGACAGTAGTCTTTCAGTTGACTACTAATAACTATTTTTGGGATCGGCAATATTATAGACGTTCCCAAAATGTGAGGGAAACTGCCACTTTTCCACACTTGGTTGTACAGTTTTAATAAGTGTGTCTTTCCTTCATATGGAAGGTTTCTAATCATTTCATAGGAACAGAAACCTTTTTGTAACTACTTAAAGCATTCTCAATTTCTTTCCAATCAAAAGGAGCATTGTAGCCTTTGCAAACGTGAGCTATATTCTGTTCCTCAAAATCATTTTCCGCATAAAGTGCTAATGTGTTATTGTATGACACAGATGATATTTCAGAGAAGTATTTTGCAAATATCTCCAATATATCTAAAGGGTTTGTTATAAGTCCATCTTTAAGCCTCAATCCTGAAATTATATTTTGTAGCCTTATTCCTCGAATGGACCGAATCCTGCGCCATTATCCTTTATTGGAGTGAGGTTATTGATGGAAAAAGCAAACTATCTCCAAGAATTCTTTTTGCTGTCTTTAATTACTCTGTTTGCTATCACTCTCGATCTTTTAAACAAAATAGCATTCTCCAGAGTTCTGTTTTTTCTATATCTATTGAGTGCACGTTTTTTGGCTCTAGTAGGATCTTCGCATTTTCTGTTCCACCATGGAACTACCCTTTTCAGGTTTCTCTGTTTTTCAAGTGGAATATTTTTATGGGCCGCTTCCATAATTATATAATTAAAGAAATCTACTGGATCGTCTATACTATTCTCCACATCAGCCAAATCACTCGTAATTGTACTTATTGACTCCCTAAATAAATTTTGCCAACAACCACAAAACTTGTGATAACTTTAGCATGGCTGCATTCACTGATTCACATGAAAATTAATAGGGCATTAGACCTGTGTATGCTACAGGAAATGGTATAAACTCGACCTTTACGAACAAATTAAAACTAAAGATATAAAATAAAAATGCGAAGTTTTTCTTGATTTCTAGCTTGAAAAAAAAATTAAATAAAAAAGTTATTGGTGTCAGTTGAAAGAGCATTTATTCAGCTTTCTAACGGTTATATTAAAATTGGATTTGACGAAAATCCTGAGGAGTTATAAATGCTTTAGTTGACGGCCAGAAAAACATTCATCCACGAAAATCAATTACTAAAGGTTGTGTTTTTTATTTATATAACAATTCGTATTTAAGATTTTTAATGGGCCCTAAAAAAGAATCAAATTTGTTTTTCATAACAAAAATTTACTTAGCCAACTTTACTGGAAGCAGCTTTTGGTTTTTGTTATTTATAATACATTATAACTCATCTAATACGAATGTCAATATTTTTTTCTTATTATGCACAAACAATTGATATATAGTAGTCTAGAAAGCCAGACAAAGCAAAGGCAAACATAAATAAAATATATTTTGTTTGAAATTATATAATTTTTTTTCTCGGCTCCTTGGGCCCATTCGAAAGAAAGCCCCGGGATTTGTCCAATATTTTTTGATGTAGTATAATAAAAAATAAAAAAAATGGTTGAAATCGGTGACCCCCTGACTGTGTATCCTCTCCTTGTTAGTGATACAATGTTAAAGGCTATGAACATATGTTTCATTTAAAAGGTTGTATCATTCTTTTATGTAATAAAGCCTTTCTCAAGTTTTCAAGTTTTATCATTCTTTTTACTTATTATTCAATTTTGCTTTTTTAGAAAAACATTTTTACTTATTACTTAGGTAACAAAAGTTAGATTTTTGCCAAAAGTCACTAAGTATATGTTTGATGGAGCTTAACTTTTTAGAATATTTTTGTGAATTTTGACCTTATTTATTAATAAAAAAGTCAAGAGGTGTGCCGAAAAGAAATAAACCTTTTTATATATAAAATATAGTTGCAATAAGTAAACAATGTTCTGATTTTACTAAGAGAAAGTTCATCATTATGAAATGTGAATTAATGACTTTTTGAACTTAAATGACCGTATGTAAGTTATTCTACCATGAAAAAAATAGAAACTAAAAAAGAAAAATATATCTAAGAATATCAGAAATAAAGTAGTGTGTATCTATGTTTTTGTGTATCTATGCTAAGGAATTAAAATAATTTTCAAAAACTTAAATTTTACCTGATTTTCATTTGTTTACAAGCTGTATAACTACACAGTTTCTGACCCACAGTATTCTAAATATTGAATTATGCAATATTTAATATTTCTGAAGAATACTAGGCTGTTCAGGTTAATTACTTTAAAGTAAAGGTATTCTTTAATTAATTGACTATCAAGTTGTAACTGGATCATATAAACTAGAAAAACATATATCTGTGAAATATTTCTGTCGAAAATATATTTGGTCTTCATTTTGAACATGTATGTAAATTTTGAAAATTATTTAAACATTTTTATAGTAAAATGTAAAAATAATTTTAAATTTTGAACTAAACATCTACTAAAGTAAAACAGAAGAGAAAAGGAAAATATTGGTTATGCTCTTTTTCAATTTAAATTTAGAATTTTTATCCTTTAGGTCATAAATGTTTTCTTAAGAATGAATCTTAACAAAATCATATCTCACAATAAAAAATTTTAATATTACTTCATACTTCTAGTTTCGTAATTCATAATTTATATCATTTTGCTATTATAGTAAACTACATTATTAATTTTCTGACAGTTTTATTAAGATTGAAGTTATATAATAAGTTATATATATATAATTGAAATTATTTATATATATATATATATATATATATATATATATATATATATATATATATATATATATATATAGGCTCAATATATATAATTTTATTTTTTAGAGGTAGGACATTAGCAACTGGGGTTGTGGCAGGATTTGGCAATTTTGTACAGTTTTTGGGTACTAAGCTGTTTATTACATATGTCGATGAGATGTACCTCAGTGGAACATTTTTCATGTATGGCGGTAAGTTGAATCATTTATTATGTCAATTTCTATTTCAGTTCCTTACATAAAAAAAAACTTGGAAAATGTGAATTTTATCAATAATTGAAACCAGATGCTGGATGGAAAACAAATAATTTATGAGTTGACTTTATGAATAACTAGCCAATTTAAAATCAAAATATGATATAATAGGATGTATAAAAAAAAAAAATGACCATTTTATCAAATTCAAGATTTCAAAGGACTGTAAATATTTTAATCCTATTTAATACTTACCAATACTTAATAATCCTGTTAGATCACTCTCTAAGCTTCTTTAATCCCATTCGACTTCTTCAAAAAAAATAACCTCAATTTAATTATTTGTTTCAAAGAAGAAACATGATAGTGTCCTATGAAATGATCATAATTAAAAATTAATAATGAAAAATCCTTCTGATATGAGACTCTAGCCTCATCCATCATTAGATTACTACTTATTTAGATCCATGGCCCATTTACTTCAAGGGAAAAAATTTGATGATTTTGTTGAAGTTGAAATTGCGGTCCAAGAATTCTTTGCTAGCCATCCCCAAGAATGGTATCAGCGTGGGATCGAGCTATTGGATAGCAGATAGCTAATGAGAACAGATAATAATGGACTATACTTATAGAGTATATGGATTTTTTATACTTGATAAATTTATATAAATTATAAGGGAGTATCAGTTGTATTTTATATCAAAGAAATAATAATACAAATATTTGGTTGAAAACCGGTTATTTATTTTTTTTTTAATACACTATTATTTTACTGATAAAGTATATATATTTTATATTTTGACTGAAAAATTCATATTTAAGTTTTATTCACCAATAATGAATGAATGAACTGGAGAAAATAGCTTATATTAATAAATTTTTGTTTCAGCTACTTTCATGGTAGGGCTTATATATTTGTACTTCTTCTTAATTGAAACTGAAGGTCGTTCACTCGATGATATAGTCACAATGTTTAGAGGAAAACAATAACCAAAATGTTTGTATGCATGTACAAAAAAGATGTAATTATGTACAAAGTTGAAGCAAGGAGGTTCAAATGCTTCTTAAACTTGTTTCATATGCACATACATATTTATATAGAAACATGTGAAATTCATGGACTGAGAAGAGTGCCATTTTATCAAAACCATATTAGCATTTTATTTTCCTTTGAAATTATATTTGAAACTATTAGCAGTATTATTAATAATTGTCATGTTTAAAAAACAAGATAGATTTTATATGAAAAAATTACATTTTAGGAATAGGTTGAAATGATAGTGAACTATATTGTTATTTAAACAGTATAGTCTTTGTTTTAAAAAATAAGTATTTTGTAATATGATTTAATTTGTGCACTAATTAATTACTCACATTTTTTTAATTTAATCCTAATTTCTCATTTTATTACAAAATAATTTTGTATGTTTTGCTGAAAATCATACTGTTCCTACTTTGAAAAACAAATAAAATTAAAAAAAATGTGATTTCTTCTTCATGTTAACTATTTTTTCAATTAAAAAAAAATTCAATTGTTATATATATTTAATGATGTTAAAATTGTTATTTATTTTAGATAGTTTTGTTTATCTATTTGTTAAACAGGATTTTTTATAATCGTGACTAAAAGCACAATAAATTATTATTTAAATTTTTATTATTATTTATGTCACCAAAAAAAAAGGTTAATTATATATATTTATTATATAGTACACTGAGAAGTATTAAAAAAACAAAATGGCGACCCTCTTCAATCCGTTTTTTAAAACTATAAGTTAAAAAAATATGTAATTATAAAAAAATCATTGTTTGAGGATCAAACTTTGAGCCAGGGTATTCCTTCTTCAAGCATCTATTATGGCTTGATTTTTTTTTCCCCAGCAGTAAGATAAGATTTTGAATTAACCTATAATGCATATTTTCACATTGTTTTATCTATACATCCAGTAATTATAAAAAAAAAAAAAATCATCCTCATTGTTGTTCTTGACCTATTTTTTTTTATTTATTAAGAATGGGTTGCCATATTTTTAATGTCTCTTAATGTAGATAATGATTGATAATAATCTTAATGTATTTAATTTCAAACTTGAATAGCTGTATAATATACTTTACATTAAGGATCTAAGGGCTAGTGAAATATTTTTATTGTAAAGAATTCTATTTTCGATCAGATCTATCCTACAATCAATTATAAACATAAAAACTTGGGTGGTTTAAAATTGGCAGTATAAGTAATTGTGCTCATTATATACACCTAATAAAAAATCTATACTCCTTTGCATTTTAGTTTCATAACTAAATTTGCCTTTCAAATGAATGTCAATCATTTGTTGTGGGAACAATTGTAAGCATTTACCTATAGATCTCTTTATGTTTGTCAAACTTGTTAAAATTATCATTGAATTATTTTTGTATAATTAGCTTTTGTAAATATTAGAAATGATGAAGTGGCACACAATACTACTAAAAGCATTAGAATCTGATTCATACATAGCAGATTGTTTCATTTTTCTTGTTTAATTTAGATTAGTATTTTTAATATGTTGTTTTTGATGGCACAATGTCTTGTTGTTATTTTAATTGTATCCAGAAAACCTTCTATATATCAAACTTAAAGGTTCCTTGGAAAATTTGATACACAAAAAAATTGAAAATTGTTTGTTAGCATACATGTAAATGTACGTATAATGTCACTTCAATTTTTTTTTTTACAAATTATGTATTGTTTGTAGATGTTATAAAAGAAAATTTTCACACATTTGTATCTAATATAAAGTATGTTTGTTCATAAAAAATGCTTTATACATACAGATTTTTCTTTCTCTTTTTTTTTTTTTTGTCTTTTACAAATCATATATTGTTTCTTAATTTCATAATTACAAAAATAAAAACATACATATTTATTTTTTAAATATTAAAATATTTTTCCAACATGCAGGAATTATTAATGTACTTCAAAAGTTTACTTTACTTTGTTTAAGAAACTTTACAAAAGTTTCTTAAACAAAAAATCTTTGTTTAAGAAACTTTACGATACGAATGTTTCTTAAACAAAAATTTGATATATATATATATATTATCAAAATATGGAATCAAAATGGAATTGACATAGTTCAATTATATGTTCAGTAATATTAATAATGTAATTGCAAATATTTAGTTTATTCGAATAATCTGCCACAGGTTTATAACTTCATTATTACAACAAACTACAATATTATTATCCCTTCACTCAGTATGTTGTTAATTTTGTCATTAATTATAACATGAAGCTGTTATATTTAGACATAAAATATATCAATAAGGACTTTTTGTAAGGCATGTCAAACTTGTTTACCGCCAAGGCTCGGATTTATAGACTATTAAAATGTCAACTTTTCAGCATCACTTTTTTCCTTAAGAGATGACTTATACTATATACCATGAACAGATACCAAACAACTTATTTAGAACTATACAGTACAAGTATCAGTTTTTAATAGTTAAAAAAAAAATAATCATTATGATTATGATATCTATTGTATTATAAAAAAAATTGGAGTTATATTTTACTGAGTACAAGATATTTCACCAATGATACTGAACTTCAAATTTAAATAATTCCACTTACACTTTACATAAAAAAAATTCAATTGGGTCAAGAAATGTCAACAATTGACTCTTAAAAATTTCTAAATCCCAATTTTGGATACTATTGAGGTTTCAATAGTATACTCTCATTAAAACAAATTACCAACATATACAATATGTTTTCATTGTATTTTTATTCAAAACCGATACAAATCATTTTTTTTTAAAAGTCACACATTTTCAATGTTGATTTAATTTAAAAATAAATTACAAAAAAACGCTTTGTTGAATAAACAGTAGTGTTGATGTGTAGATAATTCATTTCATTCCACATGAAAGATTTGTATTTTTAAATATTTAATATTTAGGTATACTTAAATTAAAAAAACAATTAACAGACTACAGAATGCTATATGATTAGAAGACCATTAAGGTAAACCTTGGCTTTATATGTATTTTGACAGTGCTGCTTCATACCATTGTTCATTATTTATTTAGTTTTAAGACGTAGTTTAAAAAAAAAGTATTATATTTTTCAATTGATAGCTTTTCTTAAGCATATATTGAGCTAAATTACTTGTTCTAAAATGTATAATTTGTATATTTATTGTTAAATTTGTTTTATAATGTAAATGTATATATTTAGAAACTTCATTTATTTTTTCTATGATTTTGTCTAATAATTTCAAAATAATACCTGTCTTCCTACAGAAATGCTTCCCATCATCCACTATTATCGTTAATGACTAATATGAAATTGCATGTGGAGTTCACCAGCTTTTTTTAAGTAGTTCTCCAAAATACCTATCTAAATCATTGCATCCAGTTTCTAATAAAACATTTGTATGGTGATTAAAAAATAAATAACAATATTGAGTGCTTGGACAAAAACAAAAATATTGAACTATAATTATTAATACAAACTAAACGGGTGAATAATATAAACTGTTGATCAATTTTTAGAAAAACATATATTTTAATTAGTTTACTATTCTTCATATTAGACTAATTATTACAACTTTTTTTTAGTTGGTGGTATAGACCATCAATTTATATCTTTAATTATATATCTTTGGCTGCACGATTGTGATTTTACAGACATATTGATTATAGGAGGACAGATAGCCTGGAAGGAAACAAAACCTCAACCTGACCTGATTCGTTACTGTCCTTGTACCCAAGTGAGTCTGTGGAAAGGACACTGAAACTTAAAAACAATTAGCAAACATTTGTTTTTGTTATCATACCGGTCATTTTGACTTCCAAAGTCTCTAACTAATCTTTTAACTAATCTATTTTTGATTTTTGGTCAACAATATCAGAACTCATTGAGGATGACTTTTCTAAAGCCAAGATGATCAGTGATACTCGATGGATTGAGCAACCCCAGGGCTGATTGCCATTTGTGTTGATATTCTGTTTATATAAATCGTGAGATTATAACTCCTTAATGACAACAGTTAATAATAATTATTAAAACAACTAAGAGCATTAAATGATAGTAATTTTGTTATCTATACCAAACATGGTGTGTCTAAAATATACTTTCATCTCAGAAAAATAAAGTGAAAATTTTGTTTTCAATAAAAAATCTACTGGTCTGTCTTCTGCCAATTCCGAACACGTGTTTGAATCATTTCAACGTGTTAATTTTATACTCCCTACCTTGCCAACAGACAATACAGGTTTGTGATTGCATTGTGCAACTGTGGAGAGAACCTAGTACCATTGCTAAAGCTGTAGATTCTCCATTCCTAATGAATCATGTATCAAACTCTACCATCTAACTCAAAACTATGTAATAAAAAAAACTGCAAAATTAAGGAGTGTTTATATATATAAATATATATATATATATATATATATATATATATATATATATAATCATTTTCAAGTCAATTTCAACCTTTTCCATTTCAAATTCAACCTTTTCCAAGTCAAATTCAACCTTTTCCATTTCAAATTCAACTTTCGAATTTTTGTCAATTTTCGATTTTTTTCGAAATGAAAGCCACTTACTATATTATCGAAGGCATAGCTTTTGAAAAATACAAAAAAAATTTGATAACGCGGTTGTATATCTATTTATTTTAACATTCTAGATTTTTTCAGTGTGATATTTCTATGTCATTTCCAAGTCAAATTCAACCTTTTCCAAGTCAAATTCAACCTTTTCCAGATCAAATTAAACTTTTTCCAAGTCAAATTCAACCATTTCCATTTCAAATTAAACCTTTTCCAATTCAAATTCAACCGTTTTCATTTTAAATTAATGTTTTAATTTTTTGTAAATCTTACATTTTTTTTTTTAAATAATGGCCATCCCCTCCCCCCCTCCAATGTGAAAGTCTATTATTATGCTCTCCTAAGTAGAATTTTCACTTACGTATATCGATTTCTTGTACCTATTCGGATTTATTAGGGACTAGTATTATGCTGTCCTGTACATAGTTTTGAAAATAACCCCCATTTTAAGATTAAGTGACTGCGTTTCGAATCATTTAAGTTTTTTTGACTTATTCGATATAACGGTGTATTTTTATGTTTCCCGTTCAGTAAATTTTGAAAATGACATCCATTTTATGTTTACGCCACTGTGTTTTGACTTATTTAAGTTTTTAGAATTTATCCAATATAAAGGTCTACTTTTATGTTTCTGGAGCCGTAGATTTTGAAAACGACCTTCATTTTAAGATTAGTCCACCGCGTTTCGACTTATTTGAGTTTTTCGGATTTTTTTCATAAGAGGGTCTACTTTTATGTTTCTGGAGCCGTAGATTTTAAAAATGACCTCCATTTTAAGATTAGGCCACCGCGTTTCGACTTATTTGAGTTTTTCGGATATTTTTCATATAAGGGTGTATTTTTATGTTTCCGGGGCTGTAGATTTTGAAAATGACCTCCATTTTAAGATTACGCCACTGCGTTTCGACTTATTTAAGTTTTTTTGATTTATTCGATGTAAGGGTGTATTTTTATGTTTCCGGAGCTGTAGATTTTGAAAATGACCTCCATTTTATGATTACGCCGCTGCGTTTTGATTTATTTAAGTGTTTCGAATTTTTATCATAAAAGAGTGTGTTCTTATGTTTCCGGAGTCGTAGATTTTGAAAATGACTTCCATTTTAAGATTACGCCACTGCGTTTCGGCTTATTCAAGTTTTTCGAATTTATCCAATTTAAAGGTCTACTTTGATGATGCTGGAGCCTTAGTTTTTAAAACGACTTACATTTTAAGATTAGACCACTGTGTTTCGGTTTTTTTAAGTGTTTTTGATTTTTCCTTCGAATAAAAAACAAAATACAAAGAATTAATTTATTTTTCAATAAATAAATAAAAATATCTAATCAAAATAAATAAAATATGTATTGTCTCATTTTTAATTTAATTTTAGTTATCTTATTTAATGTTGTGGTTTCCTGTCACAAAATTATAAGATTTCGAACAATTAGCTGAAAAATCTGAATACGGATTTAAATTTATTACCAACTGCTTTTCGGCTTTTTAGTTTGTATTCTGTGGTTAATTTAACTTTAGCTTCATAATATTTATTTATTTATTCATAATCGAAAACATATTGATGAAACTTTGTATTGAAAAAATCCAAAATGATGCCTAATTATTCGAGATGCAGCGGCTTAATCATAAAATGGAGCTTAAATATTAGATAAATTTAAATATTAAAGATTAGAAAAATTTCAATACGTCTCGGATAACATATAAGTAGATCCTTATACCGAAAAAGTAAAAAAAAAAACTTTTATAATCCAAAACACAGTGGCATAAACTTGAAATTGGGTCATTTACAAAATGTGGGAAATCTACTGCTCCAGAAACATAAAATTAGACCTTTATACTTGTTAAATTCTAAAAACTTAAATAAGTTGAAACGCAGTGGCGTAATCATAAAATAGAGGTCATTTTCAGAATCTAAGGTTACGAAAACATAAAAGTAGACCTTTAAATTGGATAAATTCGAAAAACTTAAATAAGTCAAAATGCAATGGCGTAATCATGAAATGGAGGTTATTTTCAAAATCTACGGCTCAAGAAACATAAAAGTAGACCTTGATATTGGATAAATTCAAAAAACTTAAATAAATCAAAACGCAGCGGCGTAATCATAAAATGGAGGTCATTTTCAAAATCTACAGCTCCGGAAACATAAAAATACACCCTTACATCGAATAAATCAAAAAAACTTAAATAAGTCGAAACGCAGTGGCGTAATCTTAAAATGGAGGTCATTTTCAATATCTACAGCTCCGGAAACATAAAAATACACCCTTACATCGAATAAATTCTAAAAACTTAAATAAGTCGAAACGCAGTGGCGTATCTTAAAATGGAGGTCATTTTCAAAATCTACAGCTCCGGAAACATAAAAATACACCCTCATATGAAAAATATCCGAAAAACTCAAATAAGTCGAAACGCGGTGGCCTAATCTTAAAATTGAGGTCATTTTCAAAATCTACAGCTCCGGAAACATAAAAATACACCCTCATATGAAAAATATCCGAAAAACTCAAATAAGTCGAAACGCAGTGGCCAAATCTTAAAATGGAGGTCATTTTCAAAATCTACAGCCCCGGAAACATAAAAATACACCCTCATATGAAAAATATCCGAAAAACTCAAATAAGTCGAAACGCGGTGGCCTAATCTTAAAATGGTTTCAATATCTACGGCTCCAGAAACATAAAAGTAGACCTTTATATTGGATAAACTCTAAAAACTTAAATAAGTCAAAACACAGTGGCGTAAACATAAAATGGATGTCATTTTCAAAATTTACTGATCGGGAAACATAAAAATACACCCTTATATCGAATAATTAAAAAAAACTTAAATAATTCGAAACTCAGTCACGTAATCTTAAAAAGGTGGTTATTTTCAAAAACTACTCATACGATAACAGACCCACACATCGAAAAATTAAAGATAATTAATAAATAAAAAAAGCTTGAATTTGAAATGGAAAAGGTTTAATTTGAAATGGAAAAGGTTGAATTTGACTTGGAAAAAGTTTAATTTGATTTGGAAAAGGTTGAATTTGACTTGGAAAAGGTTGAAATTGACTTGGAAATGCTATATATAAATATATATATATATATATATATATATATATATATATATATATATTTCACATTATGAACATAACACATCTCATCCCTTCCTCGGAAAATAGTTACTGTTTAATGAGAATCTCATGCACAGGAAGATCATTGGGAAGGATGTCATTACTTCCTAATAAGTTGAAAATCCAAAAAGTTGGAAAAATTAATATTTGAGACAATAATTTAATTCAGGAAAATTGTGGTAAACATTCTACTCTAAAGAGTAGCTAAAATTTAAACCAATTCCAATACCATAAAAGGTACCATTAGAAATTTTCAAAAGTAAAAATAATACGTACAACTCATAAAAAGCCACCTGAATACCCACCCATCCGCCTATCTTCCTGCTACTCATCTTAGGCAAAATATGAGAATAGGTTCAATTAAAAATCTTGTATCCTATCCTTGATTTAAATAATATGAAACCTTGCCACCAGTTTAGGATTCCGAGCATCTCATCCCTCTACTCAGCAGTGGCATCGGGGCAGAGAGGAGGTTGGATATTACATCCTCTACAATGGAGTACAAAATGTAATATATACTCCTTCTTTCTTGACATAGAATAAGTCTGTAATCAAATCTGGCAACCAAGATTGTTTTATAAACTCTGTTTATTCCTTTCCCTACATATTTCATATTAATCTGCACCTACTTCACGGTCAACCCTCTTTCTCAGTCCTAAGGTGTCCCTCAAGGTAGTACCCTAGGTCTCATTCTGTACACAGCTTAATATAATCTCTAACCAACTGATATCCTAATCCAGCAAAGCACTGTGCTTCCTAATTATGACAATATAAGATTAATAATGATAGTAAATATAGCAATAGTAATTATCACATGATAGCACGAGTGAGTTATCTGAAAAAATGATCCAGTGGTTACATCCCAAATTTTCCAGTCACAAACCACAGCCTATAGAGAATGGTGTAGAAACTGAAGAATTAAAATAAATCTTAAAAAATCACCATAACCTTATGTCGTAAGCTCACGACATCTTGTCCTACAGTATTTAATAATATTCTGCTAATCCCTTTTGAACAGATCCATTACCTTCAACTAGTACTTCAACCATAGGCGCCCACTACTAGGTGCTCACAGGGCTTGACCCCCCTCCTCCCAATGGTAACGTGGTAGTGGCTCAGTTCCCCCAATAAATTGTTATAGTATGAACATATTGATCATGTACATTGCAAAGGACTCTCTCTATATATCTAAACTAATCGAAACTAACAAGTATTGTAGAATTTGTTTAACGGTGTTCTAGTTGGGATTTATAAACTCACCTAAACTGTAAAAGGAATCATCTATTTAAATACTGTACTGTTTAAGTTTAAAGTTTTTTTTTTTTCAAAGACTTTTTTTATTAGCAGAAAGTGTTTGAAATAACTCAATACCTGCCTGAGATAGTGATTTTTCATTTAGGCAAATAGGATATATTGCAAACAATACTCCCAATATTCCCAAACAACCTTCCCAGGTCTCCCTCATCTCATAATCTTATAGTTCAGCCTCCCAATTATTTTCATAAGGTGGTGCCTATAACTCCAACTTAACAAGTATCTAACCTGTGATTCTCACACAAGATTGAAATGCCAAGAAACTGCACATAGATTCTGACTACTATAACACTTAAATATTCCTAATTTACTATAAAAATCTCATTTACATAACCATAATCAAAGCTGGATATATGAAACTGAGTTTTGTTGCTGCCTAAAACCATCAAATTCCTCAAGCACTCAACTCTTAAAGTACAAAATCCTTTGAAGGATCCTCAATTATCAAACAAAATTATCTATTAACACCTCAATAATCAAAAACTCTTTACCCACACTAACCCACTATTCACAACCTTTCAGTCTTATCCATTTCTGACAATCTTCCCAGGCATCAGAAAAAGAAGATGGCAATGAGACCTCCTAACTTAAAATATTTACTAAAGTTCAACCAATGGGTAGTTTCTTCACAGGTTATATCGTGGTTTTTGTATACTCTTTCTTCACATTTATTTCTTGTATGGATACAATTTCAAATTTCAGTCATTAAAAAATAATAATTATAAAACCTATAATATTCACTATATCTTCTTTTTTATTTATTTCACTCTTTCTTGGTTTAGGAAAAAATGCATTTTGATGGGGAGGGTAGATGCTTAGATGTATCTAGATAATCATTATATCAACTGTATAATAATTTAAGTAACCCGTAATGGTAAGAACTTCATTAATTTCAAATCATGACAAACAATAACCCAAAATTAAAAACAATTAATATATAATACTTATCATTACTTAAGACACTCGGTATGTTTTGAAACAGACAAACACAATTGAAACAGACATAATTTTGTTTCTTAGGTAATAATTTATATCACGGGCGGATCTACGGGAGGGGGGAGGGGGAGCTTTCGGGCTGAAGCCCCCCCCCCCAAAAATGGAAAAATATAACCATGTTTTATGGAAAAAAAATTAAAAAAATACCTCTTAAAGTATTGTTGTTTGTGTAATTACATTTAAAAGTACTTAAACTCCATTTCATATGGGTAGTTAGTTTCTTTCTGTTTTTCCAAAGTAATTATCGTTATTTTTATGAAAAAAAAGGTTTCGGGCTGAAGCCCCCCCCAAAATTAAATCCTGGATCCGCTAGTGATTTAAATAATTTTGTGGTATTGCTTGTCAAGTAAGTGTGAAATTAAGAAAGTACTACATAAATAGTTATTTTGTCATTAAATAATACACATAAATATGTTTCAAAGGTAAAATAGCAACAGATATATTTTTGTATCTTAGATAATGATATATAAATATAAAGGTGCGAAAGTAAAACAGTACTAAAGCACTTAAGTATTACAGATTATTTAAACCACCGTATAACAATACAAATGATACAGCTAATGAATATTAGAGGCGTGATATAAATTTAATAATGTGACAAGTATAAACATGTATTTATTTGCAATAATTTATAGTTCTGACTTTCTCAAATATATTAAATGATGTAACCAAGTTTTACATTATAAAAATTAATTAAATTATTTGAAGAATTTTAATTAAAATATTGTTAACAAAATGATTGATATTGATGAATTACTATTTTTTTTTTTGTTTTTTGGGTGTGCACACCCTGTCCCTGATTCCTGGAAGTGCCCAGCACATGGTCTATTTTCTTCCATGGTCGATCTTCTCTTGGGAACTTTGATAACATCCATTTTCCTACCCTCTGGGATTCCCCAAATATGAATCAAAAAAGAAACTACAGTAATCTCTTCTTTTTTTTTGCATATTCTAGTCCTCAGAGTTCTTACAAATGACTGTTCATTTAACATATTTCACAGAATCCGTGTTTTTTTTTTTTTTAATTAAAATAGATTTCTGTCAATAACAAGGATAATTACTGAAATTGACAAATAAGGCAGCACATACCCATCCACGGAACACGGTTGTTTTGTATAAAAAATGTTTAGTGCCCAAATTAATATCAAACATTATGTAATAAAGGCTATTTTTATTATATTAAAATAAAAATAATAATTTAGGAGAAAACATAAAAAAAACATTATAAAATATATTGTTTATTTGCTGGACGGAATTAATATCAATTTAATATACTTTAAAAATTAATAAAATGTCCAAAACAAAATAATTATTTTACAAGTGGAATGATTTCATTTGCATAATACAAACATATGTATATATTTACAAAAAATATCTACATAAAAAAAATAAAACAAATATAGAAATAGAAAACAACAATATTGATAAGGTACAAAATAAATTCAACACTTAAGTACAACAATAATATTTCATACATATGACACACTACATTGATCTGAAATACCTCTATAATTATTCAATAATAGTTGCTTATCAGAATGGAATGTTAACCAATTGAGATCAGATCATTTTAGAAAAAAATCATTCATAAAATAACAATTTTAGTAAATATCCAAAACAAGGCACATTTCAACATTTTCACTAAAAGGCACGATGCTAAAACCTTATCAACTTAAGTTATAATACTATATTATCAATACACATATTATGAGCTGAAGATTTCAAGATATTGTCACACATATAAATTATAATTCATTTTCAGTTTAATAATAAAAAAAATTATATTTTTTATAAATATACAACAAAGATAGGTTCAATTCAATTAAAAATGCGAATGTTGCCACATTAAATTATAAAAAATATACACTACATCGATTAAAATTTACAAATATTTGATACATTCTTTAATCAATATTCTATAAAATAAATACATTTTTCACATAAAAGCTGTGCCAGTAAAAAGACATCCTTAAATTACATTGTTATAAGAATCACACTTGATTCTTTTTTTTTTCTTCAATTAAATATAATAGATAAAAAAACAGAATTGACAATACATTTTTTAAACAACAGTGTGTGCTCGATGAGAGAAATGACTGTTTAAAATAATATTTTGTATAATTAATAGCCACCAAATTAAAGCTATTCTACCAAAAAAATAATGGGTTTTATAATTTGTGAACCATTGTAAACTGAATAATGTAGACCATGGACTGGCAAACTAGTCCCTTCCATTCTACAAGTGAGCATTTTAAAACAATTATTGTAGCTAATAGTAAATTTTATGACATTTTTTTTACAATTGAATTAATTATAATTAGCAAAATCAGAAGCTTGTCTGTTCTGATACCAATAAAAATCTTCAATATAATGCTTAGAGTTGCCCTCATGTAATCCAGATCAAAACACTAATGATAACTATCGGATGGATGTGAGCTATTATAAATGAAATAAGAGAAGAAACCTTAAAATAAATTTTTTTAATCCTAGTTTTAATTATATTTAAAATTTGATTAAGTGACTTTTATTATTTACTTTAAAAGATTGAGAAATATTGGTTATCATTTGATTGGAAACCATAACTAATAATAAAGAGCAGCCGTATTTTTAGCCTATCAGCAAATAAATATATTGCATATTAATTTATATCATTGTAATTAATTTACCACTCAATTTTATTATTATATATTTAGATATAAAAATAGATATGCAGAGAAGGATGGTTGGGGTGACCAGTCAGAAATAAAATGGCAAAAATAAATTGATTTTATTATTATTTATTTTATTATGTTAAAATAAATATTATTTTTTATTTTTCCATTTTATTTCTGATTGATCACCCCAACCATCCTTCTCTTCATTTTTCACGACAGCCAACCATCAACCCACAATAATAAAAATAGATAATTTATTTGCAAGGGATATGGTTTCCATATTAAATAATAGATGAATTATCAGTAGTTAGTACTGTTAACAAAATTTTAATTAAATATTTTATCACAAATTGGCTATTAGATTACAGAACTATAAGTGGGTCAGGAATTCTTACCAATCGACTTACTTATATATTAAGGCATCAGGTATTAAACAATATTATTAAATGAAAAAAATAAAGTAGGTTTAGGTATCACCAGGTTTTAGCCAAGAATAGACCTTTTAAAATGTAACAGATAAAAGATGTAAGTTACCAATAGACTCTATTAAGGAATCTTTAAAAATGTAAAAGATTGACATGAAAAAAGGTAACACTAAAAAATTTATTAATTCTTATAGAAAAATCAAAACTATTGGCAACACAAATGATGAATTATTGTGGCAGCTATTAACTATAAGCATAACTTTATTTTAATCCGGTTAGTTACTTTTTCATTCAATGAAAAAATATTGTATTGAAAATTAGTTAAATCTAAAAGCTTTCTGAAAAACTTATGAAACAGGTGTGTTGTTTTTTAAATTTTATTTTTAGCTTGACTTTGATTTTAGAGGCACGTAATTTAAATTTTTGTTAATGTGCAATGATTGAAGGGAGCAATTTAATGTTCATAGTTATTATTTACTTATAAACTGCATAGATATTTCAATTTTAACTCTTCTCTTTTAATTTTAACACAACAGATCGCAGAAAAAACAATACTTGTTTTTCACAGTGCATTTAAAAATTACCAAGCATTATTTATCTCTTTCAATAAATGTTTATGAATAGTTTACTTAACTTTTTTTTTAGAATAATTTAACGGTGTTTTGGTCCCTGAGAAAAGTTTTTCTGTCAGTAATATTTTCAAATATCACATTGCACTATGAAAACTAAAACCCATAAAACAGAAGTATTGAAGAAGTAAATCTGTTTTCATGAAAACTTCCCTTAGATGGAATAAAAGTAAGAAATTGTTAGATAATGATTGATATAACTATACATAATAAATATTAAAACCAATATGAATCATAAAAATACAATAAAATAGCCAAACATCACTGTTTCTCACTCTTTATCTCTCTATATATATACCTATATACAATTCATCTTGATATAATATGCTTTGGTAAAGAAAATTAGAATTGATATTTACATTTCGATCTTTGAAAACAGGCTAGGTCCAACAGGTTCGTATTCTGGTACACAGTACTCATAAAACAAATAACAAAAATAATTGTTCAACAGTTATACAAAACTGAATATATCCCTCTATTACAAAAATAATTTATTATCTAATTGGTTTAAATAATTACAAATAAAATTCAAATTCATATTTAAAACAGAAATGGTACTTCGATTATTGAATTATTTTTTAAGTACTTAAAATATATTCTCAAGATTAAAACTTGAAAATAATTTTTTTTTAAATTATTTTAAAATACCATAACATATCCGCAAATATAATAAATTAATAAATGAAAAAATAACTAAAAACTATTTCAAATTCAAGTTTAGACATATTTCATAAAAATGAAACTTCAACTTAATAATCAGATATAAAAATTCAAAAACTCTTCAGTCTTAAACATGTCATTTTTTTCAGTACCTTTGAATACTGATCAATGCACTTCCTAAATTAAGCTAGCCAGTTTTCAATAGAAACCACATCATAAAATAAAAACGGCTAAAAGTAGTCCGATGCAACTAGATTAATCTTTCTTCAGGAGGCGGTTTCATAACATTGTCCAATTCAAGACGTGGGTTTGAAAATTCTTGGCTCGATGGTGAATAAGTTCCTCTTGTAGCTCTCTTTTTCCGGGCCATCATAACGAATACAAACAGAGAAACGAGTCCAGCGATCACAAGGATTCCAAGTATAGGTATTACGACAAGGGCAATATCTGTCACCTTTGTTCCAGCAAATTCTGGCACCCGCAACTTAAAACAAGGAAACATTACAAATAAATAAAAATAGACATATTTCAGTTAAATAAGTTTTTTTTAAATATTAAAATTTATATTACAGGCTAATAATGCATATTTATGGTTAATTACAGGACAAATCAAGATGCTTAGAAGTGCAGTTCAACAGAAATATAAATAATCCCTTGCTTAACTAGTTACCTCTGCCTAATCCTGTAAGTTACTATAATGTCAAAATTATTCATAAGTTGCTTTCTTCACTAACAGGCTCAATGAGACTTCAAAATATAGTGATTTTTTTCTTCATAGTAGTCTTTAAAAAAAGTCTACTATGATAATGTCAGAAATAAAAAAGTCAAATATGTACATAGGCATATATATTGATTATCGTGCTAACTCTAATATCTATAAAAGAGAATTAAGAGAGAGTTATTATCGTGCTAACTCTAATATCTATAAAAGAAAAGGCACAAATGAGACGAACAAATGGGAAGGTTGGTGTAACTTCTGCAGCAATGTTGAAAAAACCCTGTGGCCTCCCAGTTAATAAAGATACTAGGTAGCAATGATCACCAACAATGTGGCACCACACAGGTGCCTTAAATAAACCGGATGATACCTGGACCTCCAATCTTGAAGAAACTTAGACTCATTTAATGGAGATTCACTTCCCGGGCAGTAAGATTATAAATATAGACAATCCTCCTATTACAGACCCAAATAAAGAAAACTTAATAAAAGAGGAAGATTGGTCATGGGCTGAGGCAATCGTTACCAAAAAGGCGATGGGCTGTAGAAGAGCTGAAACCCTAAAAGGTCTCTGGCACGGATTGTATATTTCTGTGTATGCTTAAAGAGGGTCTTAATGCTGGCACTTGGATATATACCGAAGTCCTGGAGGAAATCATCAATAGCTTTCTTTCTAAAAATTGTTAAGAGGATTATAGTGTCGCATAAGCCTACTCTTCTTTTTATTTAAGACCCTGAAGAAGTTGGTAGCAGCTCACTTAACAAGTAATGTACTACCTCATCACCCTATGCATCCAAACCAATATGCTTAACCTCAGAGAAAATCTAGTGATTTTCCTACACTCCCTAATAGCAAAAATAGAAAAGGCCTTGCACTATAAGGAGTCTGCTTTAGGGCTCTTTTTTGAAGTAGAAGGGGCATTCGATAAGTCCAAGCTGGAAGTAGTTTGCAAAGCCTTAGTAAGTATGTCTGCACCCAATGGACTGGTCAGATTTGTACTAAAAATATAATTATTGTTGTTTCAGACGGAGTCAGATAGCAGATGCATGCAGTGACAGGGTGCCCCAAGGAAGCTGCATCACACCACTGCTATGGTGCCTGGTCTTGAGGAAGCATTTATGACCAAGCATTTGCAGACGATGCGCGATCCTTATTATAGGAAAGTTCATAAAAACAATTTTTGAACAGATATCAGTCGCATGTAATATTGATCAGACATGGTGTACTGAAATGTACTTATCAGTTAACCCATCAAAGATCGAATTTATTTTATTAACCAAGAAATATAAGATGGACGTCTTCATGGCTCCTTCTTTGATAACCAACTTCAATTAAGAGAGAATGTAAAATATCTTGATATTACCACAGATCCTAAATTAAATTGGAGACCACATTTGGCAAAAGTTAAAAGAAAACCATGACAGCTTTCTAGCAGGTAAGATGTACTACAGGCATAACTTGGAGTTTTAATCCTAAAGTAATGCATTGGATATATACAGCAATAATGAGACCTAGAATACAATATGAAAGTGTGGTGTGAAGGATAGCCTTCAAAAGGCCATTTATATGTGAATGCTCTATCAAATACAAAGCAACCTGTATTGGCACTACAGGAGCGTCCTGCACCACACCTACGAAGGCCTTGGAAGTCTTATTGCCCTTGTTCCCTCTATATCTATAGATAATAGGTGGAATGGTAATGGCATTTTTAAGAATGAAGGATAACAGGCAGTGGCAAGAAATTGAGATGCCTACTGGCCATGAGCTAGTTAGAAAAAGAGTTACCTATCATACAGTACCTGTATTCTAATATAACAGATTGGCCAAAAGGTTCAATAGAAGCTCAGAACCTGTCCTGTTTCTCTGATGGAAGAAAGACTCAACCGGCCTTACGGGCACAGGAGTCTACATAGAGAATTTAACAACATTTCATTGCATTTCAAGCGGAAGTGATGTTTGATATATTTTCTGCAGCCACTTGCCACTTGCTTAGAAGTCATTAACTGTGAAAAGCATTACTATCAATTCGGATAGCCAGTCAGCACTTCAAGCATTAGAATCCCCCAAAGTGACCATTGGCCTGCTCCAAGAGAGTGGAACTAGTGTGGGCTCCTGGTCACAAGGAAATATAAAAGGCAATGAGAAAGCTGACACTCGGGCAAGAAAAAGAGCAGAATTCCCTATTATGGATCCAGAACCTGAACTAGGAATATCAAAGAAACATCAGTGAAAAGAAGTCCTTGATTAGATATGGGAAAGAGCAGGTAAAGAGTGGAGGAAATGCACTGCGCTTAAACAAGCCAAACAGTTAATTAAAACCCTTCCTCTTCTAGAACTAAGTGGCAACTAGATTTAGCTAAAAAGGAAATCAGACTCATCATTGGGATACTAACAGACCACTGCAGACTTAAAAGACATCTTAAGATTTGCGGGTTAATTGATTATGAACTCTGCCATTTGTGCAAAAATGCACCAGAAATTGCCCTTATGTAACAGAATATGACTAATTTCTGTTGCTCAGACAGAATACATGCTTCAGAGTTCAGACAGAATACAAGAACAGCAAGCTTCCTCCATAAAATGGCCCTCCCTTTTCAACTTTATTAAAAGAACAAAGAGGTTTGAGACAAAGATATAGTGTAATAGACTCCAATTGGTATTATCGTCTTTGGGGTTGGCAAAGAGGACCAATGGGAGCCACTTTTCCATAACTTTGAGCCATTTAATTTGTTTCTTAATCACTAAATCTCTACCCTGAAGATAAAGGACGAATCACCTTAATCAATTTACTTTTGTATTTTGATTCAAATTCCCGCTCACTTAGGGTTTGCACTGACAACTGTAGCTGTTGGATTTGTTTATAAAAAGTTAGCAAAGGCTGAGAGTCGAGACAAAGCAGTTGAAAGATTAGTTTTATATTTAAGTCTCTCTTACTTTCAATTTTGTATGAATAACATTCAAGTTCATTATTGTGAGTAAAGACATGGCTAACACTTCTGATTAATATCATGAAGTAACAGTGAATTCACAAAGTTTGAGGAAAACAAAGAAAACATGACAAGAGAAAAAGAAATATAATTTTTTCAAATGCCTTAAATTGTTAGTTTTTTTCTATGCTCCGTAAATTTGTAGACACTCAATATTGGTAGAAATACTTAGATTTTAGAATTAGAAACCTCAAATCCCAACATAAAGAAGATTCTTAAACCAGAAATCAAAACAATGCCTCAACAGTAATTATTCAAGAGGCACAGATAGTGTTCATAAATACACAGGTGGATAAAATTAACACACCATTCAATTTATATGACAAAGTAGAATTCAAAGAGTTAAAAAATCAGAGAATAAGTTTGTTAGGAACATAAATGATTCTTTTTTTATTTATCCTCTTTTTAATCTTGTTGGCCACCATAATGTCAAAGTTAGCAGTATCAATTCAGTCTCCTAGAGACAATAGCGTATCTTTCTCATAGCCGCCTTTTTATAAAACATGGCTCAAATCGTTTAATCATATGAGAGTGATGAAGTAAGAGATTTTACACTATAAGGAAGTTATGGCCAGCATAACCTTTAGGGAATGAGGTGTACGAGGCTTCCTCAGTATGTATATATATTTTGAATATAAATATATATCATTTTAACAAACACCTGAGGAGCTAGCTTTCTTGTAATAACATAATATCTCTTTAAAAAGATGATAATGAGATACAAATGCAGACAAATACTTACTAAGATAACAAGAACATAATGCATTAATTTAACAGTCATACAAAGTCAGTGGTGTCAATGAGGTGGTACCAGAACGAATCAAACTTTAAGGAATTTATTTTCATTTTGATAATAAAAATTTACTTTTTCCTTCTTACTCTAAATAGGTTTTATAAGTTGGTCAAGGACGCGCTCCATATACAGTAGAGGATGGAAAATGACAAATAATATTAAATTTTTCACTTACTATTTGTCATTTTCCACTGTCTACAATGGATCTGTAACTGAGTGAATGAATCATTTCTCTATTTTTCATTTTACACTTTTACAATAGATCTGTTATTCTGTAATAATTGAACAACTTAATAAATATCAATCAGTACTAATTATCAACTTTATCCTTACCTCACTACAATTCTTTCCACTAAAATCGGAAGGACAAATACACTCATAATCTGGTTTATCAACACACACTGGAGAGCATCTGCCATTATTAACACAAGGATTCATATTCTGGAATTATCAAGATCAAATATCAGAAAAAATATACATAAAATTAACTTTCTTTTTTTAAAATGCAGATAATTATTTAATATTTATAAAAATTATTCAGTAGGAAAAACTTACATGACATGGGTTGCTCATATTGCACCCGACGCCACATTTAGAAGGTTCACAAATACACAAGAAAGATCCTTCTGTATTTTTGCAATCACCAAAGCTGCCACAGTCTGCCATTTTAGTGGCACATTCGTCAATATCAATGGTGCAGGTGGTCCCTGTGTAGCCAGTTCCCATACAATCACATCGGAACTTGTTGATTCCTGTGCATATAGATGATTTTCAATGAAAATGATAACAAGTAGGAAATATTATTTGATTAACTAGCCAAAATATATAAAATAAACGATTATAAAAAATGTTACATAGAATATATAAAATTTCAAATCACTTCAACCTTCTCTAATAATTATCCATTAAGCCAATATCAAAATCACCAGAAAATATTTTTACAGCCTCAGATATAATATTTAATTCATATGGCGAGTTCAACTACTCAAATAGGAACTCAAGCCATCATATTCGCCTTGTATTTCATCATTGGCAAGAAATCATGGTTCAATTAGAGAATCATTGTTAGCATTAGGATTTTGTAATTGGATTTTGACTGGCTTGGCATAATAAAATGTAATAATAATAATGAAACTTACATGAAAGATTAAAAATATAAGATATGATAAAATTATACTTTAAAAAATTTGTCTTTTTTTTTTAAATGTATTTATAAAACTAGGAATTTTTCTTCAATGGAATAGAAATGTGTCCATCATTATTAATTTTTTAATTAAATTCTATGGTTCGATAAAATTTAAGAAGTAGAAGGGGCAGGGAGCTCAGTAAATAAGACGTAGGACTTCCAACTACAGCACTAATTGTGGTTTTTAATTAAAAATGGTTAAAAAACATTAATTTACTTTTTAATTATTAAGTAGTCGCTTACGAAATGGAGATTATCTTAAGAATATTTTTAAAAAGGCTACAGACTCTTCAAAAGGTGATATTAATGATGCAATATTATTGTAACTATACAAGGTTTTAAACATTTGTACATATCATTTTTTTAAAAGGAAATTAAACTGATTAAAATAAAATGAAGTTTAAATAAGTTTTATAAGTTTTTTTAACTTTACAAATAGTAACATGATATGAAACAAGAGTTTATGTTAAGTAGGCTTTAATGTCATCTATCTCAAGAGATGTTAGCAGTGGTTGTAATTATTTGTCAATATACTAAACATTTCTAAACTATAAATTTTTAAATATCTCAATGATTTTGTAGGTTTAAATCAATATATTAAAAAAAAAAAAAGTAAGTAATATCAACTACACTGAAAATATGATTAGGGCATTCAATAATTAATAGATATTTTAAAGAAAATCCATAGTCTAAGAGAACTGTCGATATCTTGAATCTTGATTTAAGATTCAAAAATAATAAATATGATAACTCACCGTCAATACATTTTCCTTTATGCTCACAAGGGTTACTAGCGCAGTCATCAATATTTATTTCACAGAGTCTTCCTGTGAATCCAAGTGTGCAGTCACATACAGGCTTCTAAACATAACAATTAAAGTTGTATAACATATAGAATGTAACAAAACAATCTTAGCCTGATATATGACTCTTTTAGGATGGTAAATAGCCTATAGTTAGTTATGTATAATTCATTATAACTTTTTTCTTATTTCATAATAATAGGAATTCTCACTGAATTAATAAAATACTTTCAGTAAGTTTAGAAGGACAAAAACACCTCTTGATATAATTCTGTTATATTTCAAATTTAAAGTAATATTCAAATTAGAATTAAACACAAAATACAAAAAAAAAATTAAGGGAAATTTGAGGATTAGAGAAAACTTGGATTAAAAAACAATAAAGAAGAATAACTTTGAAGCAACAGATAAGGAAATAACTTATCCTGTCACACTATACAGTATTTACTACAGTAACAGGATATAAGGGACTAAGCTGGATTATATCACATCATAGATTGGATAAATATAAAAATATATTGAAACTAAATTAACAGAAATAGAGTATTAAACATAGGCAATTAGTAAAATGGTTTTGGTTTATTTATAATTAGCTTGATAAGTGTACTAAGATAAAAAAAACTTAAGTATAGTATAAAGTTAAAGAACAATATCAGTCAGAAATTATAATCTTGAATTTTTAACACTCGATGGAAAACAAATGTATTAATTATTTTCTTCTAATGATTAAGATAAATTATCTCATTTGAGGTAAATTTTTTTACATACAATTCATAAAGTATAATCTAATTTTATTAATTAATACAAATTTGCTACCCGATTCATATAATATTATATTGGCAAACGAGAAGTTCTAATTAATGGAGAACATTTTGCAAAGTGATGTTGATTTCAAACTCTCAAATTCTTAGAAATTAATCCAAAGTTTTGAAGAAGTAATTGTCCACGAAATGGTCTTATAGGTAAAAATAAAATGAAACAATCTTTTCATCAAAATTTTCTTTTTTGAATGAGATAATTAAAGACTTATGACTCATTAAGGTTGCATAAGATTATCAAATAAATATATATAATTTCTTGATACAACATTATTTTATCTAGGTATTATTTTTAAAAAAATCCACTGAAAATTACTACAAAGATAGTGAAAAAAAATTGTATTTATTAAAATAAAAATATTTTGTAGAATATAAAATTAGAACAAATTGTATGACTGACATTAAAAAAAGTGCCTTAAAAATTATATAGATAAACCAATCCTTGAAAGGAAAACTATATTTAACTTATAGAAGATTTGAGGTAAATTGATGTCATAAATGTAAAGCAAAGTAGAAAATTTCAATTTAGACTAGTGTTAGTCTCAGTCAGTCTGTCAGTCTTTTTAGAAAAATAGTGAGATATTTTGAAACAATATTTTTTTACCTTTTTAGATAAATCAAATTTCGTTAAATAATAAACATGACTTGTGTTTTAACAAAAATTAAAAATAATATACATACCAATGAGCTGCTGATACAGTTGCCACCGTTTTGGCAGGGAGTAACCTCACAAAAGGCAGAATTACAATATGGACCGAGAAAACCTTCTTGGCAGATGCATGTGAAATTTTCTTTAGTAACTGAATCTGTGAAATAATAATTTTAAGTAATTAAACTAATACAATTAATGAAGAACGAACAAATTTTCAAAGATATCCATAAAGCAATACTTTTTGTTTTTTTTAAATCACTAGTTCATACAAAGAGAACAAAAATTCTTAAAATAAATTCTAAGAATGAATGCCTGAAGAAGGTAAACATGAGATAACAGACTAATTCATATAATTACTCTAAGTCACTATCAAACATCTCTGATAAGAGCTCATACAATTGAATACATAAATTGGTTTTATTATATATCATCATAAATTACTGTTTTAATGTTTTAATATTATTATTATTGTGTAATTAAAATTGTATTAATATGTAAAATATAAATTGAATACTAATGCTATTTAAGTTTATGTATACATTTAATTGAATTTATAAAATTCATGCTTGGAGATTTGAAAATCCTCTATATATAGATGCCAGATAGATAAAGGCAATATATTTATATTATTAATATTTTCAATGACAAAAGTTAAAAATCTATTATGGAAAACAGATAAAAGAGAAGAAAATCCATCAGCTGAAATCTGGCATGGAAAAATTGTATTCATAAAATATCTGTATTTATCAAATTATTTCAAGAAATCTTAAATTTTTATAGGAAAAATACATCATAGTATAAGTTTAATTAAATATCAATCACTTTAAAGAACTAAATCACACGGTATATTTTGTTTATATTTAATTATACCCAAAAACCTTTTTTTTTATTATGTATTTATTTTATTTTATTTGTTTTATGTAGAATGTATTTGTAAGGAAGAGGATAATTTATTATTGCACCTCCAATATAATTAACCAAATTGGTAAAGCAGCATATAAATAATAAAGCTAAAAGTAAATCTTACTGAAGACATCCTTGCATTCGGCATTATTGTAGCATGGCTCACTTTCACAAGTAACTTGCTTTATTTGGTCACAAGTGTCACCAACAAACTCTGGTGGGCAGATGCATTCAAACTGAGCTAGACGATCAATGCAAGAACCATTATTTAAGCAAGGGTTTGACTGGCATTCGTCAATGTCCACATCACACCTTAAACAATAACAGATATTGTTATATAAATTATTGGATTATAGTAGTCCAATTATGGACTGAATAGAATGAGCAGTATTAACTAGGTCTTATAGATGACTTGAAAATGGCATCATAGCCGAAACATAGCTGCTATGGAGGAGAAATGAATATAAATGTGGTGAAAAATATAGCTTTTATTTATATAGTAAAAAAATATATATACATAAAATTTGATAATTATCAAACAGCAATCAATGCAAATAAAATATACATACAGAGATCCTCCCCAGCCAGGCTGACATTGACAGGTATAGTTGGCCAAACCATCTATACAAGTAGAATTATTTTTACAGTCGTTCTCCAAGCACTCATCAATGTTTTCTGAACAATCATCTCCAGCAAATCCTGCCACACATTCGCAGGTGTATGATTCAGTGGCATTTGCACATCTAGAAAACAATATTTATCATTAGAAAAACTGAATAACTATATATCAGTAACTATATATATAAACGGGTTAATATATCATAGTTATATATATATATATAACATATATATATATATATATATATATATGTATATATATACATATATGTGTATATATATATATATATATATATATATATATATATATATATATATATATATATAGAGAGAGAGAGAGAGAGAGAGAGAGAGAGAGAGAGATTGTTACAAACATATCTCTAACCAATGGACAAAAGCATTAATTTTTTAAGTTTATTTTTTACATATTTAATGAATATATTACTTCATTACTGCAAAATGTATTTAGACAACGAATATTTGAACATAGCTCAAAGTTTTTATATTTTTGTATTGAACCAAATTAAACAGGAAAAATCTAATTGAAACAGGATAATGAATTTAATTCTGCCTCATGACTTAAAAATAATCAGGAAATCATTCTTAGTACTAACAATTAAAAACATAGATTTTAATGACTAATTTTATTTCTTTTAAAATTACTCATTGAAATCCCTCTTGACTCTGTCCTGTGACAAAACATTTGATTTTTTTATTCTGGATAAAGAAGCGAGTTGTCACAGCTTATTGGTATATATAGCAAGTCAGAAGAAAATTCATAAAATAAAAGTTTTTATTTAAAAAAGTTCAATAATGATCACTAAATAACCTCCAGCCATTTCAATGTTTAAAACTTATAAATAAAACAAGATATAAAATTCTATACATACTTCCCACTGTTCTGACACTTCTCATCAAAGCACAGGATGCAGCCAAAGTCTTGACCTAAATCACTTCCAGGATACATTTCGAAATGGTACCTTCCAGAAGTGTTGGTTGTGTTCAGCTCCTCTGCAGTGAAGTAAGAAAGGAGCAGCCCACCGATTCGAACTTCTCCAATGCAACCCTACAAAGTGACAGATTATTAGATGATGTATCTTCCATAATAAATACTATTTTTTAATAACATTCATAAGATAAGAATAAATATTATCAACAGAAAATTCTGTTGTTTATAATCAAAGACTTCTAACAAGTATTATACTTAAATAGGAGTTAATAGAAACATGCTTAAATAGGTTAGAATTGTTAATGCCAGCACGATCATACATTCTTACTTTTGAACTACATAAAAATTGGTGGGTGTAAATCAGTATGCACTGCATTAAAAAAATGGTTTTTGAATTGTTAGTACTTTTCTTGGAAATAATTCATTTTATGAAAAAAATTATACCATAAAACTTCTGTAGATAATTTAGTTTGAAACTATAAAAATGAACTTTTCCTTACTTTGTAATATGAGCCACCACTGAATTCAGCATCAGGATGTACATTATCTAAAGCATTGGTCTGCTCTTCACCAGTTGTACTGTAGATATGTTTTTCAAATGCAAGAGTATCCCCGGAACCTGAAAAAACAAAAATGTAAATATACACAATGAAGAGTAATATTAACTATTCTATGTCGATAATGCAACAAACCTCCGATTGATATATTGGAGGTGGAGAGCAATGACAACCAAGCTTTTTGGGAGAAATTGGCAGTTACTGTGACCGAATCTTCTGAACCACCGCTGAGACCTGCGGTTACCATATTCTCTTGTATCTTCAGGGTAATTATTGTCCAGCTGCCATCTCTCGTCTCTTTCACAATTTTCCGATGATCATTCCCAAAACCCATGTTCCAGTTAAGACGGACCTATTTAATATAAAAAAAAAAATCATATTAATTAGGATAATTTTCTTAAAATTCTAACTAGGAAAACACTCATTATTTTCCTTCAGTTTTTTAAAAATATTAATGGTAATAAATGTTTAAAAAAGGTTTATATTAATATTAAAAAAATAATCTCTAAAAGTATTACTACTCGTCTAATTGCATTTAATAGGACTTTAAGAATTACTAATACACCATTTCATATATTTTCTTTCTTTTTCTTCAAAAGTAATTAGCGTTTTATAAATATATATACACACACAATTTTTTTTTTTTCTTTCGGTATTAAATGTATTGGTAAATGAACAAAAGTCATAACATTTTTTTTTAAATAAAAAAATAATCTATTCAATACACACACACAATATGTATATATATTATGTAAATTACTATTATAAAAAAAAATTTACCAGTAACAAATTAAATCAATACAAACCTCATCATTAAAGACAGAAATGGAAAGGAAACTTCCATGCTGATCAGGTCCAATGAAGAAAAGATTTCCCCCGGTTCTGCTGCGATAGGTGACCATAATATCTGACAGAGAATTAGTGTCTTCACCAGGTACAAGACGGTATTTCAGACCCGGTGACATTTGCTGTTAAACATAATTACTTTAAGTGTTTCATACATTTAAATGAATGATTAAAATTTGTAAAAATATATGAAAATTCAAATCTTAATAATAAATAAAATATCGAACACTTCAAAGTTTCAGATCTGTTTTAAAGTGAAGAAGTTTCCTATGAAGACGGACTAGTGATAAAGTGTCTAAGTATATTTTTGAACAAAATAATAAATAAACAAATATACAATAGTAACACAATAAAAATATACAGAAGTAACACAATATAAATTAAAATAATAAGGAGTGGTGATTTACATACTTAAGTTTTACTTTTATTCAATTGTTAAATACCATAAAACTTTAATATCTGTCAACTCACAAATCCACCTCAAAGAGAAAATCTCCACTACTTAAAGCTCAAAGCAAATTATTTTTTATAAAAAAATTGTAGTTTTAGCCAGGAAATATTATTCATCTCATCACTTTATAACTACTAATGATAAAAGTTACTATTAACTGTATAAGTATTACTATTAATCTGAAGTGAATTAAACACCCCCCCAAAAAAACTGGGAATTCAAGATTCCATGTTGCAGAGAATATGATAGATTTTTAAAATTGATTATAGATGATAACGAGACACACTCGAGGTAAAGTTCTCACATACCAGTCAGAACTTTTAATGCTAGTAATAACCGGTCTCTAATATTTTTAATTTGAAGTTAATAAAACAGCATATTATTAGTAAATGACTTACCTTCACAGGGTCATGTAAAGTTATATTGGCAACACATTCATAGCCGTAGTTGAGATTCCTACACTCAGACCCTGTTGGACAATCCTGTACTTGACAAAACTCCATCTCCTGACATTGCTTGCCTTTATAACCAACAGTACAGGCACAGCTAAAATTAAAATAAATTGTATATTAAGTAAATAATAAGTAAACTATTTAAAAACAAAACAAATATTTTAATTTCAACTGTTTATATATTACCTAAAATCATTCCAAGTGACTGTACAAGTTCCGCCATGCATACAAGGCTCAGAGCGACAGTTATCATCACTAATTATTCCTTGCAGGACTAAATTTTTATCGAAGCTGACACTGCCCAATGAAAGAGGAGGGGCAAGGTCTTTTACATCCAAGGGGAAGAACTCGACCACCATAGTCCTTGAACCATTGCTCATCTAAAGACATTACAATTAACAGAATCAATAAGATTAATACTTTAGGTTATACAATAAGATAAACAAATATACCACTAATTTTATTATTTTGTTCAATATGCACTTCTAAGCTAGAAGATGCAGCTGGAGAAATTGATGTATGGCTTTTAGAAGTGGGGAACTGGCTCAGTTAGTGACCATGAACAAGTAAAAAAGCCATTTCAGCTGGAAAAGTTCTTGGACAAATCATTCAAAGACAGTAAAAAGTCGAGAAGCACAGGTATGATTGTCTGACAACTAACTCTTAATCTTTTCATAAAAACTAATTCCAAATTGATGAAAACATTGAGAAGATTAAGCAGGAGAATAGAATGTGTAGATAATGCATAATATTGTTTCAGTATATTAAGAAATATTGAAAATATGTTATGTCTATGTCATAACATTAATCAGTAAATGTATACAAAAAATCATCATCATTCATGTTTGATTCATCCATATAAATCCTATGCATTCTGTTGAAGTTTACTATTGATATTTGGTTTCTGTTTACTTAGATCTTAAGATTTTTAACTGGCTCCAAAAAATATTGGGTTGTCTCAAAAATTATGCAGGATTTTGGTTTAAAAAGAAAAAACGAAAGATTAACAACTGTTTTATTTAATCCAAATAATCTCCATTACTATCAATACACTTCTGTCAACGTGTTGGCAACTTTTCCGTTTCCTCGGAATAGAATTTCCCATCTTTAGAATTCATAAAATCCAAAAAAGATTTTTTAATTTCCTTTGTTCATAAAATTTTTTGTCACGTAGTGGCCCAGGTGTCTATGATAATCCGTAGGCGAGAGGTCTGGAGGGTAGGGGGATGTGGCAGAATTTCATATCCAAGCTCCAACAGTTATTGTGATGTCACACATGAGACATGTGGTCGGGCGTTGCTATGCAACAAAACGGGCCCATCCGATTGACCAAAGATGGCTTCATGATTGCCAATTTCTGATGTATTGCATTAATTTGGTTACAATACGATTTGGCATTGATGGTTTCTCCAGGATTTAAGAAGCTGTAGTATCAAAACCAAATGAAGGCCACCAAACAGTAACCATCACCTTTTTTTGATGGGTTGGGGGCTTTGGAAAATGTTCTGTTGCTTCTGCTTTGTCAAGTCATTGTCCAGAACGTCTAGTGTTATCGTAAAGTATCCAATTATCATCACACATAATAATTCTGGACAAAAAAGGGCAAGAGGTTTCAGTAAAGAAGTGTAGCACAAACTTCATAATGCTGTTTTTTTTGGCGATCATTTAATGTATGAAGAACCCAACTTTCAAGCTTTTTTACCTCCCCAATCGCCTTGAGGTGGTCATCGACGGTCGATTTGCTAAGGTTAATTTTCTCTGCAAGTTCTCGAATAATTATTATCAAATAACCTTTTTCCACTCCTACAGTCCTTCCATGACCTATGTCTTCAAGACTAAAGTGTCCCCACTAGAAATTTTTTGAACTACCAGTGCACTCATTAATGCAGCTCTCGCCCCAGACTTGATTGACGTTTCTGGGCGTCTGGGCCTATTCCGGCCGAGTTTAAACTCATAAAACAAAATTATATATACATGTTGACATCGTAGTAAAGACTGAATTATTTCTAAGTATTGAAATGTTATAGAGGTAAACAAACATTATCATTTGGAAGAGGATTAATAAGTGTCGAAATTCAAATGAATAATCCAGTATATGTAAACTGTTTGTTATTTAGAGGGGTATTTCAAAGAAAACTCAAAATTCTGCATTACTTTCTGGAGAACCCAATATATTCTGTATACAGAAGAAAGAAAGAAAGAAAAGGAATTATATTCTGGGAGATTCAGTCCCCTAATAATAATCATAATGAACAATTAAGTGACATTTGTCTGGCATATGAAGATAATTAAGAATTAATTCAATTATATAGTTATCGAAACTTAAATTTAAAATGAAAGAAAGGCACAAGTTAATATTTGAATTATAGATAAATATATATGAGTGTGTTCACATATAACCAATGTAGATAATATATAGGTATCTGTAAGATAACAGTAAAATGAGCCTGATATCTCTAAAATACTAAAATATTACTCTTACATATCTTCAGAATATTGATTGCTGAGGAGATGGAAAAATAAATTGTGTTTGAATGAGGATTTTCATATGAGGATCATGTACGAGAAAGGATTTGTTAAAGGAAACAGTTCTATGAGAAGGAATAAACAGGTTTGTGGACTGGGATCTCGTGTTGAACGAATGGACATAGGACCAAGAAGTAAACAAATAAAAAAAGGTAAGAGGACTTTTAGTTATACAGGTATGGAAGAGGAAAACACCTAGGAAATATTGCTGTAAAAAAATTGATATAGCCACTTCAACTCGGCATATTATTTACAGAAGAATTTATAAATTAATAAAGAAATAAATATAAAAAAGAAATAATATAAATTTTTCTACACAGATTCAAATGACTTCACTAGTTGATGTCATAGTTAAGTAACAAGAAACTTGAAACTCCATTGTGTCTTTCAGGGTGTGAATTGAAATCAACAATCAGGAAGGTATGCAATGGTAACAACAGGGAGACCATAACACTCCCTAATGTTATAAGTCCCTAGATTTTCCCTCCTACTTCTCATGCAGTTACTGCTGTAAGTTATGAATTAACATCCCATAGAACAATAAGCAGCATAACAGTAATTGTACAAGAAAAATCAGACACAAATTTTCTTCTCAAAACAAGAAAATTTTGAGTTTACGTAACTGTCATTATGTACTCTGTAGATAATTATATTCAGTTGCACCATTTCTCAGGGTAAATTCATTTTTTTAAAATAAAAGTTAATATGATCTTTAGAGGTAACTCAATAATTAATAAAACAAAAAGTACCTAATAGATCTCTTTTTTTCACCTAATGGTTATATTACATTGAGAAATATAATAAAATGTGATATCTGAAGGCAACAAAATATTCAAGATAATGACAGACTGCAGAGCAAAGTTAAATAGAGCTTATGAATAACATGGTAACAAGATGTTGAAAACAAATTCAATAAATAATTTGATATTTTAACCAAGTCAATATTATAGAACCAATAAAAATATAATTAAAAATGCATTATTTAATATATGTTAAACCATGTGAAAAATAAAATATTTTTGATAAACATACATAAGTAATAAGAAAGGTTAAAAAACAAAAAACATTCTTTCACCTGAACATCCTGAATGATGCCTTTGAAGTTCCTTTCCTGAGACAGTGGAGCCGTACTACCAAGCTGCAGTATCTGGAGGTCAAGCTGACCAGTAACTGTTATTGTCTTCCTAAAGTATTCGGTACCATTTATTTTAATCTGGATTAGAGTTACATTTCTAATAACCTGTAATATTAAAAACTTGTGTAAACCAAAATACCATAAAGATAGTATTGAACATGAAGAGTGTTTTAAATGAGGAACAAAAATTTATTAATGGCTTAATAAAGTCAAATTTCTGATGTAATTAAATATAACTCAAAGCATTACTTTTCCTCACTAAAGAGGTAAAAACAAAATCTTATCAGTAAAAAATTGTACCAATTATTGTCAATTGCTGAGAATTGAACATATATCTTCAATAATAAATAACTTTACAAAATAAACAAAAAATTATATAGATACACATCATACCTGTATCAACTGATTATATCCTGTGTCTATCCTTACTCCAGCAACTGTGTAAGATTCTAAAGATCCATTAAATTGGATACTGACTTGAAGTTCCCCTCCAGTTATTCGTGCAGCAATTATGGTTTCTTCTGATTTTGGCACAGTTTCTGGCTTCTTTATAAAATAAATTTAAATGTATGAATTTAAAATTGAATAAATTAATTAAATTTAAGTGATTGGATAATTATAAAAAATAAATTATAAACAAAAAATTCATTATTACCGATCCAAGATAAAATATTCCACCATATGGTTCCCGAGTTCTGATGAACATGGAGATATCCATGATGGTTCTTACAGCACGACGGGCAGCTGGTTCAACGGCTACTGTTACAACACTGTCCGAGATGTTTTCATGTGCAAATGTAGCAGCAGTAAAGTCTAATATAAAAGAAAATTAATTAAATAGAAAATGTCGATTGACTGAACAAAACATTGATTGTATAATAAATAATAAGGTTAGTAGGTGTTTATTATTTTGTTTCATGAAGTTAATCATAATAAAAAATAGATAAATAAAATAACTGCTAGATATGATTTAGAAATCATACAGTTTACTCGGTAGTGGGTCAATCCATTTGAAATCACCCAGGCCATGTTGCTTGATATTTTTTATTTTTATAAAATTTTGACCAGTTATTCCATATTTATTAGAGAGTTCAAAGCTGTTGTTAATAATAAACTAGAATTCAATTCAATGTCTCAATTTCATATTTGTCGTTGATGGATGCTGATTTGTCGTTTAAAGAATGCAATTCCCAGACATACTTGATACGATATAACTCTGGAGCCGATTAAGTCTCAGTCACCAAATTTGTTTGATATGTCCGTATTATAAAGTGTTATAAAATGTACAAGTTTCATCACTCAGTCCCTTTTATGATATTCAAATTCAAATCTCGCCCAAAAAGACTTTTTTGAAAATTTATATCTAAATAAAGGACAAGGTTTTCAAGATTGATATTTCATGAGGAAGTAGTACACTGATAGCATTACATATGAAAAAAAAAAAATTAAAAATGAGACTATTTTCATTATTACAGTATTGCTGCACAAAATGTATCATTTTATGATAATTTAAATTTTATAATTGTCAATTTTTTAAACAACTTTCCTCACTACTTATGAGATATATTGTGAGGACAACAAAATTAGAGTAAAACATCATAATAATTTTAGTTTTTGTTTTGTTTTGATATCTGCAAAAATGATGCAGTTAGAGGAGGTACGATAAGCTGATACCGACTCGCACTAGGCAGCCATATTTGTTGCGCTATAATTAACGGCCATATTTAATTGTCTAGAACCAATTGAATCTCAATGATCAAATTCACACTTCTATCATTATGAGGTATAAACTGTATCAATTTTATAATTTTTCACTCCGTCCCTTTTGTGATATATATCAAAAATTGCCGAAAACGACTTTTGAACATTTTCGAAAATTCAAATTTAAAAAAAAGACAAGGCTTCAAGACTGAAATTTCATCAGCAAGAAGTACAGTGGTAGGACTACTTACGAACAACAAATTAAAGTAGAGACTCTTTTCCTTATTATAGTTTTGCAGCCCTATAAGTCAATTTTTTTTTGTATTTTTATGATTTTTTTAAACCACTTTCCTTTCTTTTTAGGTGATATATTGATCAACAGAAGTGTAGAAAAATACTCTAAATTATTATATATATATTTTTTTTTTGGCTTGATATCTACAAAATAACCAGAGTTACTGATATTTTCCCAAAACATGTTTTCAGTTAAAAAAAAATTAAAATTGGCCTCTAAGAAAAAACTGTGAGCCTTAATTTTTTTTTAACAACAGCTTTGAACTCTCAAATAAATATGAAATAACTGGTAAAAAAAATTATAAAAATCAATAATGTCGAGCAACAAAATTAATTCAAAGTGGCTGATTTCAAATGGATTGACTCTAGTGTATTTATCAGATTATGCAATGTGGATAAATGGGTTGGTTTTCGGAAACCACAAATGTATTTTCTGAAAGGTTTAGGACAAGAATTGGGTCCACTTGCCATATTGAGAATAATTGACATGAAGTAACAGAATTCAAAACTTCATTAAACAACTAAATACAGCTAAAGTGTAAATTCGACATTCTTAAGTCTAGTGATCGGAATCAAATCCGTCGGGGTTCAAATCCGGCCTGGGGGTTTTGAGATTTATTTCATGGTGAACCCATGAATTGAATCTTGACCTTTCTGCTTTAGTCAGAATAAGTTTGGTCGAATTTGTAAAGCAAACCCCCCCCCCCCTTCCAACCCTTCCTACTGTATGTCAGTAGGAAAGTAGGGGGTAATTGAATAAAGGAAATTAAACAAAATAAACATACAGCAAAAAATTAATTAGGAAATTCTAGTCTGTTTCATAATGGATATTTATACAAATTATCTCTTGAGCTTTCTTTTAAAAATGCTTCTATCTATAATATAACTGCCTCCTAATTAAAAAATATCGTGGACTATAAAAATTTAATATGAACTTAAAAGTTGTGCAAGATGATTATAGCTTACAAGATGTCAAATTTAAGCAATAATCCAGAAAACAATTTTTTCAAAAATAATTGAAATTTTGACACTAAAGCAAAAAAAGGGTAAGTCTATACAAATTTAAAGGTTATTTTATAAGGAAATTCGTATAAACTCACTATATTGGCAAGTATGGCCAAGGAAAGGCCTCTCACAGGAGCAGCTAAAGCTGTTCCATAAGTCAGTACAATGTCCACCACTGAAGCAAGGGTTAGGAGAGCACTGTGGCTCTCGCTTACATCCCAACTGCACGCCATGGAATGATACTGACGATGAGTTTGCAGCACCAGGTAAAAGCACCTACAGACATATTAAATTAAAATTAGTCAAATACTTCACATTTATATATTCTATTTAACTTTTTTTACTTAATAGGCAAGAATATCCTATGTAACTAAGGAATTATTTTAATAAAAAATTGTTGATATATGATCAAAATGAGTTAATCATAATAAGATGAAATTAACATTCAATATTATAAGCCTTTCATTCAAATATCATAAATTTAATGTTTCTGCCAGGGTAAAACATCTTTTTAAAATAATAAAAAATAAACTGGATGTATTTCCAAATAACAAACACAAAATAGAGAGAAACAAATCCTCAAAACAAAAATGTAACATGAGCAGGAACCCATTTTATTTATTATTTATTTTATTATTTTTTTTTTTTAAGTAAGAACTATGAAACTTAAATAACCAGCTATTAATTTAACAAACTACAACTAAAAAGAATTCATTCATGCTTTGCTTACCCATTGACCATTTATCATAACATCTTGTACACAGCCTCTGAAAGTGGATGGTCCATGAGGAAGTGCTCTTAGGTAGGCCATTGCACCGCCAAGGTAAGTTGTCCCAAAGCTGGTATGTGAAGCATTTGCTCCCTCATTCAAATTTATAGGATATATCGTTTGTTCTTCGTTTGCAGCTAATACCAAATGAGATGAGTTTATAGCAACAAACACCTAAACAAATAATTGGCTAATATTAAGAAAGATACGAACTTGATAAACCTATATATATATATATATATTTACATATGTTGATTCCTTCAAATAAATTACATTAAATCCATTTTAATAAAGAAAGAAATAAGTTTATAAAACCAAAGTAATAAATATATAATTGCATCGTCAATGAAAAACTAACAATCAAAAATCTACAAATTGAAACAATAGAGTTCAAAGATTTTTAATTTATTTTAAAACTTGTTGCTATCTTTCAGTATTTCTACCCATAATAGCATTTCATTAAATAAAATCATTTAAAATTTAAAAATAATTATTTACTTGAGATTATAGATATATTAGTAATAAATTGAGGGAGTGACTTAGTAAAAGTATAAATTATTGATTAAAAATAAAAATTTATTTATGTGTTTAAATATTATAAATATTTAAAAAAGCCAAAACTAACATTGGTATTAAAACTCACTTTTTGCCAATTACTATCATTTAAACCGGAGCCAATGAAGACCCCCTCCCACTTATTGAGCAGGCTTGAATGAAGGTTTAACCTTCCATTTACTAGTTCTAATATATAAAATGTAGACCCTTTCCCAATCGCTAAGAGCCCATCTGGCAAGGTAGTCTTAAATCTGAGTTGAATGTCATAGCCTTCTTCTCTTGATGTTGATACAATGCCATATGATTTACCATCATAAAACATTGTAGTTTCCTAAAAGTAAAATTAAAAAATTAACAGGCAATAAAAATATATAGCTTTTTTAGAAATAAATGAATTTATTTTGGATATCTTACTAACTCTTCACAACTAACTAAAACAAAATCAGGATTGGAATATATTTATAGATAGATATGAATAGCTTAAGAAAAATTACTCAAGAGGGAACATTTTTTTACTATTGCAACTTTTTATCAAAAGTGTATCCATTATAGTATTCATCAACTTCTTATAATCAGCGACAAAGAAAAAATGGAGCTGACAATATTTTATTTGGAACAACTAAATGTAGCTATCAAGAAAGAGCTTTGAATTAACAAAAGAAAAAAAAATTAATTAATGAATAGAAGGAAAAGATTTTCTTTTCTAAAGAATTTTTGTAATCATTCAATTAATAATTGTCAGAGATTGAAGAAAAGGAAGAATGAATTTGATAATTAGGCAGAAGGCTCAATAAATAAAGAACAATCAACTTAAAAAGGTTTAATTTTTTCGAGAATTAAAAAAAAAAAAAAATTCCACTCACCTTTTCACAAATTTGACCTTGAAAACCATATGGACAAGTACAATTGAATTTGTGGATAGTTTCATTTTCAAGATAGGGTTTACATTTTCCATTATTAAGGCACTCATTCTTATTACATCCGGTAAGCTCGACTGAACAGTTCTTTCCACCATATTTGGGATCGCACTCACACATGTAGTTGGCTCTTCCATCATGACAAACACCGTGAACACAAGGCCTTAAAAATTAAATAAATAAAACAAATCAATTTCATTATCTTATGTAAAAAGGAAGAATATATTCAAAAGCATAATTTAAACTTTATCTTGGAATGAAGAAATATAATAAATAACTATCTCCTCCTGCAATAAGATTTGATCAAATATGTCTACAAGAGAGAAGGCTTGGCAGGGATTGCAGAGGATCTTCAAGTGAGGATTGAAGAAGGGCCTAATAGATGTAAATCAGTATTGAGAGAAGCTACTGTCAAAGAGTGGAACAGGCGGTGGGTCACTACCACTAAGGGGCTACCCTAAGGAAGTATTTTCCTACTATCTGGTCCTGATTAGCAGCAAGATGGATCAAATCAGACTATTGGGTCTCTCAATTCCTCACTGGACATGATGGTTTTCGTGCCAAGTTACATAGTCTTGGAAAAGACATTGATCCCTATGCTCCAGTTTTGGTTTTCCGCAAACTGTCGAACATGTGATCACCAACTGCCTTGTATTTGAGAAGCTAATGAGAAGCACAGGTTTCCACAGCCTCAATAAAGGAGATTTATCTCTACTCCTCATTGCAGATTACTATCCATACTACGAGGCATTCGTGTATGGGTGGAAGGAAATTATAGGTGCAGCCAACTTCAATATGAAAGTAAGTAGAAGACTTCCACAATCTCAATCCGGATTGACTCCAGGATAAAAATCAAAGCGGAAAAGACATAAATTTTATTATTATATAATAAAATGGAATCCCGTATTGTCTTAAGACAAGGATGGGAGAGGGCAATAAATAAATAATAAAAAACTATTTATTAACATAGAAAAATTCCATGTTAAAAATACTGAAACATAAAAACATTAATTCAATAAGCAATCATAGAGTCATTTATGAATTTTTAATTGACATCATCACAGTTTAAGTAAACTAAGTTTTACAATTTTTGTGGAACAGATATCTTGTGTTACTTAATTTTTGACATACAGAGCTATTGCTGAAGAATGAATCCAAAAATGCCACTTTTTAAAGTAATGAAAATGTACATGATTCTGAAAGTAATCATTTTACTGAAAAATGGACTAAAGCAAGCCCACCAAATAAGCAACACATGGTACAAAAACATTGTTAAAAAAAAACCTAAAAAAAAAATCAATGTTATAACCCCTCTCTTATAACAAAATACTCTACTACTTCAGACAAGCCTGAAATTTAAAAAAAAAAAAAGACATGTCTTCGCATTTGAAAAGTTTTCACAAATTTAATTATATATTAGGGCGAGCACACCAGTTATGGAAAGAGGGCCCAATGATGGACAGATTGGACTTTAAATGTAAATAATAAGTTTCCTTGTTGATTTAAAGGTTCCAGTTTTTTCTAGATTGAAGAACATTACCCTCTGTTAACAACTGTACGAATAAAGTTCCCAAAAGAAAATTTTAAAATGCCTATTATTGTTGTTTCTATAGTGCTCTTGAGATCAGTGTGTGTCATACGTTCCTACTAACAGTTTTGCTAGGAGTAAGTTGAAAATTTATGTTATCTTATATTTATCGTTATCTTTATAGTTAGATATAGATTTTAGAATTTTTCTGAAGTATGTCCATTACTGGTACTGACCCACCGTCCTTAACTAGAACAATTGAATTTTGGGATGTCCGTCACTAGTGCAAAAATGTTTTTTTTTTTTTTAAATGGAGATTATACCAGCATAATGAATATATTTTCAATTTCGATGTGTTAAATATAAAGAGGAGACCTTAGAGATTCTAAACGTCCAACAGAGAAATTTATAACTATAATAATTACGGCAGCATAAGCCAAAAATTTCCCTAGCCATCACTGGTGTGCTTACGCTAATAAAAATCTGACTGTAAATGCTTAATTGAGCATTTACCCATAGCAATGACCTAATAACTAAATATAATTAATAAAAGATTGTTTATAGAAATAGAAATTTTGAAACAATTTCATTTGATTCCATTTGTTTTTATCTATTAATTAACTAGGTTTCAACCGTTCTTCAGTAATAAGGAGTGCAGTTTTACCCAAGTTGACATTGTGTAAAAGTACTATACTTTTTATTCTCAACAATCAGAAACTTTTAGCAGGTTAAGGAAGCAAAAAATCTACAAGATGTGTAATGGCAAAAGGAAAAAAAATTACTCACATATATCTTTCGCATTCATTAATTTCAATTTCACAGAGGGTTCCCTCAAAGCCTTCTTCACAGTCGCAGGTGTAGCCGTCGACAAGATCTGAACAAGTACCGAAGCGGCAAGGTGAACTCTCACACTCATTAATGTTCATTTCACAATTATCGCCAAGTATACCAGGAGGGCAGATACATTCATAACTGAAATATAAATAATAGAAAAATTTTAAATTCATTGACATTTTTAAGGAGCTAAATATATTTTTATTTAAGGAACTAATCGAGTCATAAATAACGTAAAATATAACTCACCCAGATGCTGTTGAGAAATTAAAATCCTGAGAGAAAATAGAATGAGTCATCGACCTGTTGTTTCTATTTTCTGGAAGGTAGTATGCCAAAACTGAGCGCTCTTTACATGTTCCTCCATACTGGCAAGGATTACTTTCACATTCATTGATATCAACTTCACAATTAACACCTTAGAAAGAAAAAAAAAGACTGCATATGAAAATAATACATAGGACATAAACTTATAATTCTGTAAACAAATCAACTAAGGTGTTGGCCTTGAACAGCCTATGGCCTAATGTCCAAAAGATATGTAACAAGCGACTGTGACAATGTGCAATAACCGTTAAAACCTGTCATGCATTGCTGCATGAATATTTGAAAAACTAGCAACAACTGTCCATTTTAACATGATTTGTCCAACATGTTACACATCTGGTGGACGCTAAATACTAGTAAATTAAAAAATGTTGAAAAAATTAAACAATTGTGGTAAATAGTCAATAGTTAGAAATAAACATAAATGATTGAAAATTAAGATTTTAATATAGGAAATTCCTGGCTCAACAACACCTCAGATACAAAACTTCGTAGCTCATAGCAGAAACTTTACGCAGTATTCAATAAAATTGAATAACAATAACTCTACTTTTCTATCCAACTTTTCAATTAAGTACATATTAACAAACATCATTGTTGTTTATATAATATTGTGGACTTATTTATTATTATAGATAAATTAAACGGCTTAAACAGAGAAAAGTAAACAGCTGCGCCAAATAAACAACACAATAATTAGTAATCATATACAAGGATTGTAATAAATAATGATTTATCAGCTTGTTTATTATTAGTATAATAATAATTTATTTAGTACCTGTATATCCAGGAAAGCATTCGCACCTATAGCCTTTGACAAGATCTCTACATTGCGCTCCATTAATGCAAGGGTTACTGACACATTCATCAATATTGATTTCACAGTGTAATCCTAAAAAAATATATATATATAAAAAATGAACAGAAATAGTTTGTTAAAAGATATATTTAAATTTTAAAATTATCAAGCAAGACAATTTATCTGAAATAAATATTTTTTTGTAAAGCTAAAAGGTGGATGGAACATCCCAAGGACAGTTTTAATCATTAAGAAAAATACAAAATATAATCAATGTATAATAGTATAAGAAGATTAAATTTATATAAAAGTATAAATTCTTCTTTCATGTTGGCCTTACAGAGCTTGCAGATCTTTGAGTGCCTGAACTAGTCTTGTCCACCTCTGCATTTCTTGGGCCATTACTTTCCAGTTTTCAACATATAGCTCTGCAGTATCATTGTTGATTCAATCTATTCATCTAGTTTTTGGTTTCCCTGCACTACATGGTTGCTAGGCAACCATTAAGATGTTCATAGTAGTGTAAAGGCTTCCTAATGGATTGCTTCAGGCTAAATATCTCGGCCATCTTAACCTCCTTGCCTTCATATCCTATGATATTGATTGACCCACTTCTGTTAGTAGTTCTTTATTGATCCTTTTTCTCAATATATTAATACACTGATGGCAGATCGTTCTGGCATCCCCCGATACCATGGGAACAATTTTCCTCTCAAATCTGTCAACACTTCATTTTAAAGTGCTGTTTTGTGTCAGTATATTAAATGAACTTCCTAATTTTTCATTTTCTATTACTTCTGTTCTATGTTTTGGGTTAAACAACCATTTTCAAAAGCAATATGCAGTTTTATTTTCATTCATTATAATATATCCTCATCCCCATCATATTTATCTTTAAATCATGAGTTTAACTTATTTATCAATGTATTATGTATGAACGGCATAATGTATAGTCATGTATTATCAATTTTATAAGATACATAATTTTTATCTTCACATGATGAGTGAGTAGACATTACCAGAGATAAACTTAAAGCAGTTAGTTATCTTAGATAACTTATGCTCATAGTATAAAGATGAAAATAAATATGAGGACACAATAATGAATTAATGAAAAATTAAAATAAAACATATCGTAATGCTTTTGAAAATGACTAACTTGAAACACTGAACAGAAATAAAAAAGGAAAAATTAGTAAGGTCATTATTTCATCTTCCTATATTATTATACATTGATGATACCATATAACCTTCATTATCCTGGCTAGAATACGTTGGCAATCTTTAGGATGACCAGTCCTTCCTGCCCTTGTTTGATTACAAAATGATGTTAAACCCAAAGTCAGTAAGAGTTTTTTGATCCAAATAATAAAAGACATCTTGAATATTACAGGATAGTTTCAGTACGTATTATTATTTTATTGCATCATTATTTTTGAAAGGCTATTATTAAAGGCTTGATATCAGAGCTTTTAAAAAACATGAAAGATATCTGAACAGTAATTAAAAAAAAAAAATCTATAGAAATAAAAACCAAAACAAATCTTACCTTCATAACCTGTTTCGGAACAGTTACAAGTATAGCTATTTAAACCATCAATACAAATTCCATTATTTTGGCATGGTGATGACTGAAACAAAGCAAATTAAACACTTAATTAATAAAGTAATTTTTCTTCAAATTATGATAATTTAAACATGATATTTATGTGTTTGTAACCAATTATCAGAATATTGGGCAACAGATACATTATATTGATTATTGATATTAAACTCATAAAATATTACAATTTTTCAGTAATGGTATTCTTTTTATAGAAAAATGTTGATGTAAGCTTTTAATATTTGTTAAATTATGCAACTCAGATTATAATAACAATCACTAGCAGCGGATCTAGGATTTAATTTTGTGGGGGCTTCAGCCTGAAAACTTTTTTTTTCATATATATAAAGATAATTACTTTGGAAAAAAAAGAAAGATACAAACTACATATATGAAATGGTGTTTAAATGATTCTTGAAGGCCTATTAAATGTAATTACACGAACAATAATACTTTAAGAGAGAATTTTTTTACATTTTTTACCATAAAACATGGTTACATTTTATCATTTTTGGAGGAGCTTCAGCCCGAAAGCCTCCCTCCTTAGATCCGCCTGTGATAACAATTAATATTATGTTTGATTGGTATAAATGCAAAATGGAGTCACTACCTTCAGCCAACTTTTGGCAGGGTGCAAAATTCTGTTAAATAATATATTTTTTATTATACGATTTTGATTTGCTTTCCAACAGAGCATAATATTTTTAAAAAATAAAGACTGTTGTAAAAGTTCACATGCTTCTATTGATTCTTAGAAAATAAAAACAAAACTTAAAAATATCATTATTTTAATCTTTAATTAAAACATGTTGAATTCAGCCCAAAAAAAAAAAAAAATAATAATCTAAAAAATCCAGCAGATTTAAAAGCCCTGACGAACTTACAATATAACAACTAATATAGTAAGTTAAATTTAAAAAAGAATTATTTTTTTAGTACAGAATTATTATGTTTAACAAAGGTTAACAAAATTTGATGTTTTTCATTATTCTTTTAAATATAATATAAACTCAATAGATTTTTTATAACCATTTTTATTAACTTACAGCACAATTAGATGTGGTGTGATTAAAATCTGCATTGCTAACTAGTTGAAATAAAAATATTAAAAAATACACTATCATTATACATAAATGTCACAGGTACCATTTGTTATACAAAAAGTCTAAATGCCCATTTTGATTGATTAAATTTTTTTTTTAATTATTTTCAGTAAATCACAATTGGTAAGAGAACAATTGACAAAAATAAACATATATGTAAAATTATAATCCCCACCGTATAGCTCTTCCAAAAGCACCAAAATGTTTTAACAGCTGTCTGAATAAGGAATTACCATAACCAGGAATTACAAAGAAACTTTATTAAAGCAGTAAGAAATATTTCATGTATCATTCAAACAAGGTTGACAACATAAATAATAAAAATATACAACAATTCATAATGCACTAAATTTTACTTTATGGAAGTAGTGATGATTCATACACCATTGTCTAAATTAAATGAATTTGATTAACCTTATTTTCAATGAAACAAAAGACCTCATTCTGTACACCAATGCCAATGAGATTATATTTACCTCACAGTCGTCTATGTTGTTCTCACATAATCTGCCAGTGAGCCCTTCTGGACAAATACATGTAAAAGTAGCAACTTCGTCCACGCACCGAGCCCCACTTTTACAAGGGTTTGATTCACATTCATTAATGTTTATGCTGCAGTCTTTGCCTAAAATTAAGTAAATAATTTATACAATAACAATTTACTGCATGAAAACAAAGCACATTATAAATGTAACATGGGACTTTTTTTAATCTAAGAGACACTTGCTAACACAATTTATTCTATAATTAAAACAAACTTTATGTTTGAAATACAGAAAACATGCCATTAAACTTTTAAGAAACTATTTAAAGATATCATCGGGACCATGTTCAAGTAATAAATGGGAAAAACCACATTTTAGGAATTAATTATTTTTATATCAGAAATATTTATGGAAAATAAAATTTTATGAAAACAAATCTGGGACTCTTAAAAGTTAAAAAAATTCAAATTCTTTTTTGATTTCCAAAAATGGTGGCAATGATATGAACTCCTACTACTTAGAACATTAAACTATTTGTGAAATTTATTAAAAATTTCTTAAAAATATTCATAATTTTTTTCATTAAATTTATTTTCACAACTGTTATAATTAATATAAAAAATTATCAATGGAATTAAAAAATAATTTATTATAAATATCACAATAAACAGAAAACAATAAATTGATACTGAAATTTTAACAATAATAAATCTATCTGCTTTGTCCTATTCTAAGCTTGAAACTCACCAGTGAAGCCTGGCGTACATGTGCAACTGAATCCATTGATTTTATTGATACAAGTGGCTCCATTGAAGCAAGGATGAGATAAGCACTCGTCAAAATCCACCTCACAGTGATCGCCCGAAAATCCAGGAGTGCAAAAGCATTGGTATGAACCTAAAACCACATAAAAAATATAATCCCCAATCATCAACGATCAACAATTAGCAACTTATACAAAAAATAAAGCCCTATTATACTCTACCTTCACTGTTGACACAAATTCCATTGTTACATATTTGAGGAATATCACATTCATTAATATCAGTTTCACAATGTGTGCCTGCACAAAAAAAAAGTTTAAAATGGTTAAATTTGTACTACACAATTAGTAGAATTAGTAGAATATTTTTTTTATTTTTGAAGAACATTAATAAAAAAATGTCAAATTTAGTAACTTAATACTTAAAATATTTATAATTAGTTACAAATTAATAACTGTAAAACAATGTGGTAGTTTTTAAAAACTATTCACATTGAATTTGTTATAACAAATTAGGTGTAATCCACAAAAAAATGGCTAAAGGTTTAACCCAACATGTTACTTCTACAAGGGGAATTGATATTCACCCGTAAGAATAATGTTGCAGTAACCTAGATTTTTCAACCATGTGGCAAGGTTAATGGAGAAAGCCATTAATTTTATTTAAGAATGAAAAGAACTTATTGCATTTCACAAAGGTGAAGATTTAAGCTATAAGGATAATGTTTATAAATTATTGTAAAAAATAATAATGAAAATTTGATGGTGTAAGTGTGTAGTAGTGTATGGAGAGGAATTTGGATTTCATAAATAAAACTATTGCCGGATTTCTTTCTAGAAACATTGTGACAAACAATTTAAAAATGTCTGTTAAAAAGTTTGGTTAAGGACTTGACTGGATTTTTCAACCGCCCAAACATACACCTTAAGTTCTAAAACAAAGGATGCTCTACGATCCATCCCAATAATTTAACAACTTTATAATTAGTTAATTTAAACTCTTTTCAGCAATTTTAGGGGATTAGATGTTAAGCGGAATATTTCATAATACAAAATAAAAATGAAATAGTGACTGACTGGAACAAAATACTTTCAGATATTACCAAAAATCTCATCTATTTTAAACCATTAATACACACAGCTGTAATAGCAGCAGAAAAAGAGTAACAAAATACTAACTTATTCAATCACTGTTAATTTTTGTACTTTTTTAAGGGGAATAATTTATTATTGTCAAACTGGAAACTTTTTTTTGTAGAAATATCTGATTAATAAAACTAAACATACTTGAAATTTAAAAATTAGGCACTTAATTTTAACAATTTTTTTATTTTACTTTTGTTTCATTATTTCGTATTGAGCTGATTTCCAGGTCTATATAGACTTTTGTTTTTAACTGCATATATTTATTTTATTCAATGAAATTAGAAAGAAGAGCTAATTGTTGGAAAATTAAAAACCGTTTAGAAATTTTCAAAATTATCATTAATAGATTAAGATATTAAGACCAAGGAGATGATCCATGAGTCAGAAGGTAGGACATTGTAGGTCCTCTTCAAGACTAACAAGAGAGATTTAAAAAAGATGAAACTATTGCAGGAGTAATTTTTCCAATTTGATATGTTCATATTTTTTATTCCTACACTAGTTTCATCTGTTTTTTATCTCTCTTTTTAGTCCCGCTGAATACCAAAATGTGGATCAAAATGTCAGTATTGAATAAATAACAGGTAATTGTTTGATGTTTTTTCTTACTGACTAATGGATCATCTCCTTCTTAATTTATCATACTGTCAATCATCTACACCTATTTTTAATATATTTGAAATGATTAATGCTTTCCAACATTAATAATTTTTAGGCAACATGAAATAATGAAGTATACCATAGTGATTACTACTTTTATCAAATAAAAGTAACAAAATAATAATTAAAACTTTCAAATATATAACATATGTGTCAACTTCTTAAAACTTTGAATTTATTTTTAAGAATTCATTTTATCGTACCTTTGTTTGATTTTGTATAAAATGTACATACTATTTCTTTTATATATTATATCATTCTGTATGAGAAATACTTGCCTTGATATCCAGCCGGACAAGTACAGGTTAAATTTCTTGGGCCTTCGATACATGTTCCACCATTTTTGCAAAATGTAGGAGTACAATGATCAGCTTCAAGAGGCATGGTACAGTCTGGACCGGAGAGTCCATTTGCACAAACACATTTAAAGGTGTTTATACCATCGATACATATTTTACCTTCTGGACAATTTTCATTCATGCAATTGTTTATATTATTTTCACAGTGAATTCCTTCAAATCCTGTACAAAATAGATAAGCTGTTAAAACTGAAAAAAAAAAATATTAAGAACTACAATTATTCAAATAGTAAAATTATTCTTTACCGGTATCAGCACATTCACAATAGTAACTCTTGCCGTCCGGCTTGGGAATGCAGGTGCCGTTGTTCTGGCAAGGGAGGAGTGCGCAAGCATTATAAGGCAATTCACAGTTTTGACCCATGAAATCAGATGTACAGTTGCAGTGATATCCAGAAGTACCATCATAACAAGTCCCTCCATTCTGGCATGGTAACGAGATGCAGTCATCAATGTTATTTTCACACAAAGGACCTGGTAGGATGAAAAGGAAAATAGATGAATTAATATTTCATCCAGGTATATTTCTTAGATAATATTTCGTAGTAAAACAATCAAAAGGTTGTTTTTTTGGCATAATTACTTTTAAATTAATTAAAATGAGGGATTTATTATACCAATTTAGTTATTAAACAATTTTGTTGTTATTATAATTTATATTATACATTTTTGATGAGATACTTTCCATGAGCTCTGTATTTATACTTTGACCTGTTAGTAAAGACCGTCCCTACTCCTCCATTCTATTTCTGTTCCCGAATCTTGCACAGGTCGGCCTTAAGTAACTGGCCAAAGTATAGTTATTTTGTTAAAGACATGAATAGAATAAGGACAACAAGCCTTTTACGGTCTATTTCTACTTGAGTATAATACAAAATGTGAACATTACAAACATACTCATGGATATCTGTTAATCTAATAATGTCGCTTAAACACACAATTCTAAAATTGTCAACCTTATTTTTAATCATACAAAAAGATGTGATAACAAAACGAATAGAAAAAAATAACATATTAATTATTTTTAAAAAATTAATAAAACCCCTCCAACAACACAACAGCTTTATTCAATGTAAGTTCCAATTTGAGAAGTCAAAGTAAAGAAAATAATGATTTTATTTAATTTTAGCAAGTCAATAGCAAACAAGAAACGGATGAAGAATCCTTGTTCAGTTTACCTGAAATTAATCAGTTGACCTTCGCACAAAAATCCTTAATTATGAATATTATTTGCAATATAACAGTTTAAAAAATGGCATTAGGTTAACAATTGAGGTGTCAAAAGAAAGGAAATTTCATGGAGAAATAATGATGAATCTCAATGTTAATCTTTAAATTCATATGTAAATTTCGATAAAAGTTATTGGAAAAAGTAGGGGAGTTCTGAAGATGCTAATTCAATGGATCAAGAAAGCGAAAATTATGTTAAAAGATTATGATGTGGACATAAAGATCCGGAAAAGTTTATTCTGAACACACCAAAATCTTATGTTTTAAAGCTCTAAAATTTATCATTTTCAAGATAACACATGGGCACAATCTAAAGTTGTCACAGGATACTTATCACAATCATTGATATTAATTAAAATATTCCTTTTCATTTTAGGTAATGATGATAAATTAATTCATAAACAATGGAGAACATTCGTGAGCTCCTTTGTATATATAAAATCACCTCGGATAATATAAAAAGAAACTTTTTCAAATTTATAATAAAAATAAACATGTCTTATGGACATATTTTAATTTTATTGTTTGTAAAAATATTTTACTCTTAATTTGTGAGAGAACTACAAACTAGTGGTCCTGCTCTTTGTCACCAACCAAACAGGTCTCATCAAGCACAATACTGGGTTGGTATAAGATTATAGATAGGTAAATTTCTTTTTTTTACTGTTAGGCTAAAAGGATGTTTTACAGTGGGACAAGCTAATTACTTATTAAGTAAGCTTATCTTTCAACACAGTCATTATAAAGTATGTAGCTTGACAAACAGTGCATGATGATACAGACTATATTAATATTATATTATTAATACAAAAGTTTTTCTAATATTGTTTATATCTCTAATGTATTAAGGAGAAGAAGAATGTATATAAAATATGAGATTTCTCTTTGGTTCTACTCTGAGTTACTAATCCTACAAAAAAATAAAATAAACTATATATATATATATATATATATATATATATATATATATATATATATATATATATATATATATATATATATATATATATATATATATATTATAAATGGTTGTAAAAAATTAATAATTTATCAATGATCTATTTATTTATTTTATATAAGCTGGTATCTTATATATTTAATTGTTAAACTTATTAATATACAAGAAGAAAAAGGTTAGAGTGGCAGTAAAAGCAATAATGCTGCAAATTATTACACAATAATTTACTATTTTCAAGTAAATACAAATCTAATGCACTATGAAAGTTTCACACGATCACAATACCAGGCCTTAAAATAAATAAACATTTGGTTGATTTTATTCTCTTATTCCCTCGTTACCTCATTACCCCGTATGGGGAGCATCCCAAGGGTCGCGGATGTGGGGATGGTCGGTGGAAATTCCTTGAAAGTTCCTCCCGGCTAAGTCCGATGGACTCGCTGACCAACAATCAGAGGGGCCCTCCAGACTTGTTGGAGGGTGTGACGTAGTATTGAACGCCCTACTCACATATCTTTAGTTCACCAAACACCACAAATAGTCATGGTTCTCCCTAAGGTAAAACGCTCATTATCCGGAGGTAAACTAGTCCCCCGTTCGGGTCTCTGGGTGGGGACTGCTTTAGGGGATTCATGGCGCAAGTTGAAATACAGGGATTTAAATATTGGTACGTGGAACGTAAGGAGTTTAAACACAGCAGGGGGGCTAAAATCAGTCGCGAATGAGGTAAATGGGTATAATTTAGATGTCGTGGCTCTGCAAGAGGTTCGCTGGCCTTTTAGGGTCGGCCAGGAGAGGGCTCGATGAGGGAAGGAAAGTACACCATTTGGTACGGAGGAAGTGGGAATCATTGTTTAGGTACCGGGTTTCTTGTTAGGAGTAGATTACTATCCGCTTTGAGAGACGTACAATTCTTTAGTGATAGAATTTCGGTAGCTATATTTCAGGGACGTTGGTTTGAAATTGCATTAATAAACATCCGACCGAAGACAATGACGATGAAGTCAAAAGTGAATTTTATGATAAACTCAAATGGGTTTATGATAAACTACCACGAAACTACATGAAAATAATTGTAGGTGAAGCGAACGCAAAGGTAGGAAGGGAAGAAGTTTATATTCTGACGATTGGTAAAGAAAGTTTACACGAATACAGTAATGATAATGGAATCCGTCTGATAAACTTTGCCATCTCGAAAAACCTGATAATTAAAAGTAAAACATTTAAACATAAGGATATTCATGAATATACTTGGACATCACCGGATTTGCAAACACGAAATCAAATCGATCATGTCTTGATACAACATAGCTGGCAAAGCAATATAATTAATGTACGGTCTTATCGCGGAGCAGAATGTGGGTCAGATCATGAATCAGTAATCGCAAAACTTCGACAAAAACTTAATATAAAAAATAGAAAAGAAAACTATTTCGATTTTGAGAATTTTAATTTAGAAAAACTAAAAAATCCATCAATTAGAACCCAATTTGAGCTAGATGTTAAGAATAGATTTGAAGCTTTAGAGCTTCCTGACGAGGACCACGAGGATATTGACAAGTTATGGGTAGAGATCAGGGATAATATTAAAGCGGTCGGTAACTCGTGTCTAGGAAAAAAGGAAAATAAGAATAACAAGCCGTGGTTTGATGAAGATTGCTTAAACATGTGCGAAAAAAGAAAAGCCACTAAATTAAAAGCTCTAAATAATCCTAGTGAAGGTAATCTGGAATACTTCCAAACCTCAAAGAGCTAAACGACAAAATTGCTCAAAAATAAAAAAAGGGAGTATCTTAAAAATAAAATAATTGAAATAGAAACTAATAGAATTGAAAATAACGTAAGAGACATGTGCAAAGGTATAAACAAATCACGTAAATGTGTAGGGCCCGTAACGTCTGGAATTAGGGATGATAATAACAATATTCTGACCGATCCGGTTGACATATTGAATAAGTTTAAGGACCACTTTGACAATATTTTAAATACGGGAAATTATGATCTGTGTCCTCCTTCTGAGTACCAGAGTGCTGAACAGTTAATAGAAGGACCAAGTAAAAAGAAAGTTGAAGTAGCTATCGGAAAATTAAAATCTTATAAAACAGCGGGAACTGATAATATTCCTACTGAACTAATTAAGCCATAAGCCGGGGAAGCTGGAGTTTCTAAAATACATCAGTTGGTTAAAAAGATCTGGGTGAGTGAGAAATTACCTGAAGAATGGAAAGAATCTATTCTTATTCGGATTTACAAAAAGGGCGCGAGGACGGATTGTAATAACTATCGAGGAATTTCACTCCTTCCGGTATGTTATAAAATATTCACTTTAATCTTAACCAGTCGAATCACGGAATATGCCAAGGAAATTATCGGAGACTACCAATGCGGATTTAGACGGAATCGTTCGACCATTGATTAAATATTTTCTTTATGGCAAATATTATAGAAAAAATTGGAGTACAACGGTATTGTTCACCAGCTGTATATAGATTTTAAAAAGGCTTACGATTCTATTAACCGACAGAAACTGTATTATAATATTCTAATCGAGCAGGGGATTCCAAAAAAAATTAGTAAATCTAGTCAGGATGTGCTTGACACTCAATAAAGTTAGAATCGGTAATAATCTGTCCGAAAAATTTGAGGTTCGGTCGGGTTTAAAACAGGGGATCCCTTTCGCCTGTCCTGTTCAATTTGGCATTAGAACATGGGTTGGATCTGGGTGGGACAAAATCTGTGCTGATGCTGCTGATGCTGATGATCTGGTACTGTTAAGCGAAGACGTTGAAACTATAAAACTAAATACAACAACGTTAATGAAAGCCGGTAAAGAACTAGGACTCGAAATAAACGTAGATAAAACAAAATATATGGTTAGCTGCAAAAATGGCGATACTACTGGTGATATTGATATAGATGGTAATATGTTTGAACAGGTAGAGAAATTTAGGTATCTAGGTTCTACGATAACTAGAAAAAACGAAATTGAAGAAGAGATTAAGGTTAGACTGAAGGCGGGAAATGCTTGTTATTTTTCTGTGACAAAACTACTTAGTTCGTGCCTCTTGTCCCGGAACTTAAAAATTAGAATCTATAAAACAATTATCTTGCCTACAGTTCTTTATGGATGTGAAACTTGGCCGCTTACATTAAGGGATGAGCAGCGTCTTAAGGTTTTTGAAAATAAAGTATTGCGTGGAATATTCGGACCGAAGAAGGATGAGTTAACCAGAGAGTTCAGACGGTTACACAACGCCGAATTGCGTGAGCTGTATCCGGGTAATATAATTGAGGTAATTTCATCGCGGTGAATCAAATGGACTTGTAAAGTTGTTGGGCTTAGTAACGAGAGAATTCCTAAAAGGTTAATATTTGCTGTGCCGAATGGTAAGCGTCCGAGAGGTAGACAGAAGCGAGGGTGGGAAGATTGCATTAAAGCCGATCTGAAGGGACTGGGTTTGGACGGCGAACGGTGGAGGGAGGTGTGTAATAAGCGATTGGTGGTGTCGGCATCGAACCTTCGGGTTCGCTAAGCCTTTTATTATTATTATTATTATTATTTTATTTTATTAATTTTGACTTTTTTTTATGGTATGTTACAATGGTTACAAAATTATCTTCTTAATTAAATGAGATATGGCTATTAGAACCTATTATCAGCCGTCATTTTGAAAAAACAAAATGGCAGATGGTAGAGAATCATGACTTTGTTGCTAAATCTAGACAATTGACAGATTTTTTTTTTTTTTTTCAATTTAGCATTTTACAGTGAGTGTATATCTCCACATCTCCCTAGTTAGCCCTGATGAATACCAACAATTTGGGTTGAAATTTCAGCATTTAATAAATAGCTATCACTATTTTATATATCATTCTTGACTGTCAATCAGACCATCTCATTTATTATACATAAAAAAGTTAACCTGACGTTAATAAATATATCCCAAAATTTTAGCAAACTGTTGTTTATATTTTAAATAATAACACAAATCACAGAGAGGGAAAAGCTGATAAAAGTTAATAAGTATAATTTGATTCTGTTTTCCTACCAAATCAAATTTCAAAACATTATTAACTTCTCCCTCAAAATAAAAAATGTTACCTGTAAAGTTTAAAGGGCAGGAGCAGTAGATAGTGCTATTGGTTACAGTGCAGGTGCCGCCGTTGGCGCATCCGTCCGAATGGCAGTCATTGGAAAGCTCATCACAATTCTGACCCTTCCATCCCTTCTTGCAGGCACAGAAATACCCACCAGGCTACCACACCAAAGGTGCAAATCGTGCATTGTTAGTACCAAGCTCGAGTGAAAAGTGGATTAAACAAGTCACAGAGAAATAAAGTCAAGAAAATGATATAACAGAGTTAGAAATAGATAACAAATTGTATATTTCGAAATCTCAAGGACTGCAATAGTGAAAACATATTCGAATGAGAGTAAAGTACTGTTGATGAAGTATTTTTATTTACACTTAATTTTTTAATTGTTTAATTACCCTTTATAACAGTCTTCTATCAATCTAATATGTATTCACAATGAAATAATTCTAATGTCATTAATTAGGGTAAAAATGAAATACCATATTAATAGTACAAATGATTCAAACAAAATGAAAACTAAGAAATAATTTTAGCATGCTTAAGATAAAAGTAGTTAGTTATCATGCAATTAATGCTAGAATAATATAATCACATGCATTTATAAAATTTAAAACCACAAAGCACAAATATATAGTATTATAGAGCATCTAAAAAAAAAAAAAAATTGATAACGGATACTTTTCACAACCGTAGATTCTTTTTTCAATTATTACTAAATTCTAGGTAATTTTTTTTTTTTTTAATAAAAGGGACCCCAAGAATTAAAAACTCCATTGGCTGTGACATTGTGACAAAATATAATAAAGACATATTGTGAAAACTGTAATCAGGAAAGATTTGTTTAAATAAAACCCCTTAAAACATGATTATGACTTACAATAAGGTTGACAATTCTTTTTAACATGCTCTTTGGATAGTATGTGTCAACAAAGTATAAATTATTATTGAGTAAAAATTAAGTAATTTATCTACTGATTTACATCTACTAGACAAACATCTTTAAAGACCAAAAATAAGGCAAAAAGTTTTATAACACAATTATAATAAACAAAATTATAAATTAAAGGTTCTTTATAAGTGGTATCAGAAAAATGTTAATCAAAATAAAATGATTGAGGCCAACAAACAAAATGTAGTAGTAATATTAGTTCGAGTAATCATTGCTAAAAATATGAGAAAAATTAAATAAGGATACATACTTTGAAATATTTGTAGGAACTATAAATTCCATCCATCATTTATCAATCCAAACCAAGAAACAAAATGCTCATTTCAGCATTACAGAGTTAAAGGTGAATAGAAATATATATTCTACTGTATTATGAAGAACATTATTTTGCATACCCAAGCAAACAAAATAAAATAAAATAAAAACAACTTTAAAAGCCATTTTAAAACACTGATTAATAGAAAATGAAAATAAAATTAATAATAGATTACATTCCAAGCAAAACTATCAAGATTGAAAAATAAATAAAATTCATTAGGAGGAGGACATATCTCTTTGATATAATCTAATCACTTATTTGCAAAAAATAAATCAACAAATTTCACCTACATTACAAACAATACAAAAATGATTTTTATAGTATTCCATATAAGTGTTTCATTGCAACGTTTAGGTAAGAAAAATTCTCATATCTACAGATTAATCTTAATCAACCCATCAAAATAAATAAGGAACTATTTAGCAAAATTTACAATAATTACAGAACGAGAAACATATACATACAGAATGAGAAACTATGGGGAAATAAAATTTAAAACAGTTAAGCCATTAACTCACAAAATCGAAGCAGGCTTTAGAATGCTGGCATGGGAATGCACTACACGAGACAGGAACGGAACACTGTGGACCAGTAAAACCTGACTGGCAAACACAGAAGTAGCCATCCGGAGAACTGATCGGTGTTCCGCCGTTGTCACAGAGATTAACGCATTCATTGATGTTACTTTCACAGTTTGTTCCTAAATAACAGCTAATTTACAATCATAGTATAATAGGTACTGGAAAGGCTGATCTGGTTAAAGGTTGGGGAATCGTAACTGATTAATAAAACAAAGTTAACACTACATTAAAAGAATTCTATGAACTGAGATCTTATAAATTGAAATATTATATAGAGAGATCAATAAATTTCCTAAGAGAAAGCAACATTTCTATAAAGTAATATTGCAGCTGGTAGATTATTTAAATCCTGTACAGTTAACAATAAACAACTTTACATTAACAGGGAGAATTTTTAATTTAATGTTATACAAAATATTTGACTTAAATTTCAATTATAATTTTAAAACAAAATCTCTAGAAAGTGTTAACTATATCATAACGTTCTAATTGGATTAAAAAACAATCTCTTTGTCAAAAAATACATTTTTTTTTTTTTTTTTTGGCTGTATCTTCTTGAATGAGGAGTGATGAATCATACAGATCCATTCAATTTCATCATAGTCAATTCATTCTTCTTCTTCTTCAAATTTCTCTCAACTGGTGAGGTCCAAGATTGAGAATATAAACCTGAGTCTTTCTGATTTCCTCCAGACCACTGTAACGCTTCATCGCCAAGTCACTGAGATTTGGCCAAATTAGCTTTAAAATATCCTCCACCTCAGGACATGTCTGAAGGATATGCTAATCAGTTCATTTAATTTATTATAAAATACTATATTAGCCTAATTATTAGCAGATCGAAGATCAATGCAAATAATGATATATGGTTACTAATTTATCCTCTTAAGAGCACAGACGGTTTTTAATAATTTTAACAAGAGTAAAAACATATCATAAATTATTTTTTGGAAATTTTTTCATGGCTGAACTAAAAGTAATAACCATACATTTACAATTAAAACTGGCATGATAAGTTTGAAAATGATTTGAAAAAGAAGACATGGTTGACCAGAGAACTTATTACAAAACTTGGTTTGGGGAATGCAGTCTTGTTTGATGAAATCTACACCTGTCCCCTCAATTAAGCCTTAAAACATAGGATGAAACATTGGGACATATTAAAATAAGTTCACTTATCGATGTATTTTATTCATTCCTGCTTGCACTGTCCAAACAACTTGAGATAAAAGTTTAAAATTCAAATTTGTCATTTTTTAAATGTTTTTAGATCAGTTTTCTGATATAATTTATTTAAAATTGGATTAAAACAGACTGACTGAAGGGTGTAATGAAAAAACATTCACCAGAAAAAAATAAATTCAGATTAACATGCGGGCATTCCGTCTATTTCCCATGCCAAATTATTACTTTCGTGCAGTCATTTTTAATAATGTAAGTACTACCAAGAAAATAGGCAAGAATGAATTACCTGTAAAACCAGGAGAGCAGATACAGGAGTAGCCATCAATGGTTGTTTGGCAGGTGCCACCATTCGCACAAGGGTTGCCGTTCATACAGATCTCATTTCTGGTACAATTGGGTGGGATGCCTAAACAGAAAATCAGTAATTCAAAATTTTGTTATTGTTAATTAATTGAAAGACCAAAAGAAAAATTGTACTATTCTTTCATAGCTGTACTATTCCATATCGAACATAAGTAAAATATTTCCCAATTATAATAAAATAAATCGATTTTAACAGCTAAATAGTAAACTAAAATTAATTAAAATACTTACCTTTGTAACCTGTCATGCAAACACATTGATAAGGAAGATTGGATTCGATGCAAACAGAATTAGGGTAGATACTACAAGGATTAGAAGCACATTCACTCAGCTTCTAAAAATAAAAAAAATAAATGTTAAAATCTAAAATACTAAGTAAAATAAACTTCTACAACTATTAAAAAAATTATTATTATATCAAAATACTATATATAACAAATACTTCATTATTACCAATTCACAATTTTGGCCACCAAAACCAGGAGCACACTGGCAAGTATAGCCACCATAGTTATCAAAACAAATGCCATTGTTTAAACATGGGTTGTTTTCACATTCATTGATATTTATTTCACACATTTGTCCGGTATACCTATTGAAGCAAATTTAAAAAAAACAGCATTAATTCATTAATAAGCAAGTAGATTAAGATATCATAATGAATAAATAATAATAGAAAATTACCCAGTCCTTCCACAAGAACAAGTGAACCGATTGATTCCATCTGTACAAGTTCCTCCATGTTGGCAAGGACTAGAGAGACACTCGTCAACATCAATTTCACAATCATTTCCTTCAAAACCTAAATAACAATGAAAATTATAACTTATTTTTCATAGTCCAAATAATTACATATAATTATGATTGGTATTGACTAATTGACATTAAAAATTACTTAAAGAATTATAATACCTGGTTGACAAATGCACTTATAAGTGTTACCACCACCAGTAATATGACAAGTCCCGTTGTTCTCGCATGGGAAATCATTATCACATAGATGAGTTTTAGTCTCTCTTTCACATCTCCTACCTAAAAATAATGAATAACAAAACTTAGAACTCATAATAACATTCTACAAAATATAGAATAATATAAACTTAGAAAATTGTAATTAGTATTTATTCTAGGATGACATTAGAGCAAAACTAAATTAATTAAAATTACATGACTAAAAATAGCTTGATAACATAGAAAAATGTATTATTATATATCAATGTTTGTAATTATTTACAAATTATGACTTCAGGATGGGAGGAAGCTACAAACAATTTAAATGAACTAATAATAGAGTGCCAAAAAGGTGAAATTTAGATAAGAAGAAAGTGTGAATAAAGGATGAACAATTTAAGAGAGATAAAGACCTAAAGAACTTACAAATCATCTGTCAAAGGTCACAAAGAGTTTAGAGATATAAGGTGGATGATGATATAGTATTAATTGATAGAGAATATGGGAAAAACAAAAATTGGTAGATGCTATGAAGAGGCAAAGAAGTTTCATATAATTTTAAATATGTGAGTTTCCCTGGAAAGATTTTTTATCGAAAATGGGTCTTAGATATATAATTTATGGATGATGTTATTTAATCTTTAGGACTAAATGAACCAAGTAAGATCGTGCCAAAACACAGTCTCCTCTCCAATTGAAACACATATATTTTCAACCAACTTAAGTTCTTTACCACAGTTAATCGATAGATTATATTGCAAAACTTCTTAAGGTCTAATTTTTAAAAAAAATCCATAATAATGAAAAATCATAACAAATAAAATCAGATTTAATTTATTTTTTATTGAATAATTTTATGACCACTATAATAATTTTGAGATCATTATTAATTAGGATTTATAAATATAAATTACATATAACAGCCAATTTAATTATTAAAACTAGATATAGTCATAAATAGTAGAATCCCAATATTTCGTATGTGGATAATACATTCACACTTAATTAGGTCTATACGAGAAAATCATGTTTAAGAATATTGGTTTGTTTTACACTTTCTGTTTTATTTCTAGCCCTTTATTTTTGAAGGATGTGTTGTTTGTACCAGTTTGGCTTTACAATGTCTTCAAGGACTAACAATAGTCTTTCCCAAACAGAAAAAAAAATACATAAAAGCTGTTGTCAAAGGTTAAAAACAATCCGATGTATCCCAACATTATAATCTTTCTTCGTAGTTGATAACATCCATTTTGAAGAATAGAGGTAGAATTATCTCTTAGACTTTAGGTATAAAAGTTTACCACTGTAAGACTGCTGAGGAGTACCAACAGCTTAGAAGAGTATTTAACAATTGCTCAAGTTGAATTCTAACAAGCAAACTTTTCATATGAGTGATATAGTTTATAAGTTTGATAGCCTTAAAAAAAGCCACAGCACTATATTAAAAATGCTTTGTGGTAAAAGTGTATGCAGTAAAAGTAAAAATTTGGAGGTACTAGTGGATAATTTGTTTTAACTCATAAAGATGAGTTTAGGGAAATGATCGATTCTCATGAGCCAAATTCGTAATAGTTGTACCAAGTCATACATATTAATAAAAAATGTTATTAATGTCATTACTTTATCATTTTTATTTTTATCCCCCATTAATGGTAATATCGATAACCTGAACATCTTGACAATTCATATTTTCCTATTGGACCCCTTGATAATACAAATTATCAGGATTCTACAGTATTAAATTGTATTCAGTTATAAATCAGAAATAAAATAAACAAAATCACAAAATTACCTGCGAATCCTTGAGGACAGATACAAGTGTAATCACCAGTATTGTCCTCATAACATTTTCCGTTATTTTTGCAGGGGCCTCGGTCACATGGAGAACCTATTTGGTTAAAATCAGCATCAATTATAATCACAACTCTCGTTAAAATATCCAAAGCCATAAAATAAGCTATGTAATCCAATATTACATTATGACAATACTCTTAAAACTAGAATTGAAATCAGTTAGATAAAGTAAAACTTAGTGACACATTAAAATGTAAAGTAATAACTTTGGAGGCAGATTTATATTTATTAAAATTATAGTGCCTGTAGTTAGTATTTTTCTATCAACATACCATCAGAGAGAGTTATATAGACCTAGATACTTTACATTATTTTCTGAGATAGTAACATAAACAATTTCTTAAGGTGCTGTTTATATAAATAATAATAATTTCTGCTACAGAAGCTGGATATGTGCTAATAGAAAAAAACACCACATTTAAAAATTGAAAATCAGAATGCAGCCAACTTTATTTTTTTGTTATCTTTTCTATTTATACTTAACTAATATAAGGATTACAGAAATAATAAATCAGAACCAATTAACTATGATATATAGTAATGTCATTAGGTCATCTTTTAGCTGGTTTTGAATTTCTATCTCTAACAGCTTTTTATACCTTAAATGTTTTTCTAAAGCTGAAAAACATGAGTTATATAGCAAACTGAAGTTAATTTTCACTGTGAATTAAGGGCAGATAATTGTATTTGATTTTATAAATGTTAGAAATCTAGAACTTGACTACAATAAAACAACTAAAAATTACATCCTATTAAAGAAGAAACAAATGATAATAGTACATAAAACAATACAAATATTTTAACTAAAATTCAGTTATGAGAATTTTGCCATAATTCATGCGAACTAGGGTGCTCCAAAGAATATGGAGTGCATCAACTACAACTATGAAATACTTCATAAAATTGGCAAATGAGACTAATTTTCTCTAAACTAAAAAATCTGAAGAGAATCAAGGCCAGATTGGAAAATGTAACTGAACTAAAGAGATAAAAATCATTAACTTAACCCAGGGATAAATATTAAATATATTTTCCAATAAAAGTAGTTATTTTTTTTTCATTTTAGTCATCAATTAAAAACAAAACAACATTATACTGTCAGATAATTGATATTCTGTTTTGTTATGCTGTTTAGTTGTGCATTACCACTCTGGGATCAACAAGGGAAAAGAATTACTCTATAACTGTATGACCTTCTGTAATTATAAGCTAAATAAACCAGAAGAGTGAAGATTAAGTTTCAGACAAATTTTAAAAAGATTGAAAATATTACCTAATGGCAATACTCTATAACTTTTCGGAGATTAACAAACAAATATTTTAAATGAATATAAACGCTCACCATTGTCTATTTGACAGTTGGATCCAGAGTAGCGGGGTGTGCACTGACAATAGTAGCGATCTGGAAGGCGGATGCAGCGACCGTGCCACATGCAGGGCTCATTTGCGCAATGATCCACCACTTCACCTTCAACATGCACCACCACAAACTACCAACTTGTATTTTGTTTCTAATTTTAATTTAATTTTTTCTCTTCCTTTTATTAGTTCAAAAATTGAATGTTGCACCTCATTTTGTAAAAACAGGTGTTAATTCTAATATAATCCATACACATGAAAGAACCAACAAACTTTTCATGGTACTTTGGGTTAAAAGAGGAAAATTAATAAGTGTTTCAAGAAGCTATGAACTAAAGGAATCAAACATATACCAAGTGCATTATAATTATGCCATCTAATTATAGCTGCACTATAATCTAATCAATATCATAAGCAACATAATTCATTGATAACAATTACATATCTAAAAATATAATCATATAATAGAATAAAGTCTCCAAATAAGTAAATAACAAATATTTCATTATTTAGAGATGTTTACAGAAAAAAAGTGTTATGGTTTATAAAAAACTTAACTATGATAATTTAATGAATCACAATCTTATAGGCCTCAAATTTATGATCTAACTAGAACTTAGACCTTATATTCACAAAGTAGAAAAACATACATAACTCCCTAACCTCCACCCTCCCCCTCACCTATTCAAATTTCATTAATGATCTAAAAAAAAATGGACTATTTCCCTTCTGGACTGGTCATTTTCTTAATGTTGTGGTTAGAATTTTTGGAGAAATTATTACAATCTGTGATCCTTGCCACTTATTCATAGACTCTAACAATCCATTGTACTGTTTCCTCTTTTGTTCTTATCATGAATATTTTAATATTTATTTTTGTATGCATTCTCTATGTATTTCTTGCAAATTTATCCAGATTTATTTATCCCTTAATTTTTTTTTGTCTTATTTTATATAAATTATTTATTTTATTTTTGTAAAAAGTTACCTATTTATTTATGTTCATATGTTGAACTATGAAATATATTCATATATAATATTTTAGTCATGATGAATATCGGTAATGTGAATTGAAACATTGGTCAATGGAAAACAATGAATGACAATGGAGTATTTCATTATAAGCATCCTTAACCACTATCTCCACGATTAAATGACGTTTCATGTAGCTTAATTTCTGGTGCCAAGTTAATAAAGTCCTCTCTGATGAACCTCAGCATTCATGGATACTTCTATACTTTCATGGAAATACCACAAGCCCGTCATAATGAAACCCATGGTCACCATCCAATCTTTGACCTCTTTTAATATAGAGTTATTAAACATTTTCGTATCTCTTCCCTCAACAGTCAGATTAACTTTGAAGGGATTCCAAATTCCTCATTCATGGGACTCCATTGTCTCATATGGCTTTTGAGACTTTTTGATCTTCTACGCACATTTGAAGTTAATGAATAACTGCTGGGTTGGTACTTTAAAATCATGTCTGTTTTTGGGAGAAGTCAGGGACTAAAAATTTATATGTAGGTAGCTCTCTCTTCCCCAAAGCCTGTTTGGCATTAATCAACTTCACATTCTGTAAATAATGTGAGTCGATTGAGGAGGATTTTTGAGATTACTTTTTATGCACAACAAAGCAAAGAAATATTATGACCACTATTTGTGGTTTGTTTTTTTAAGGAAAGTATACTAATCCGATTAACATCAATACATGTATATAATCAATACAATACATATTTTACAGTGAAAGGTGCAAATATTGGAAAAGTACCATGCTTAGTTGTGTTGGTGCTTTGTGCATGTGTGCTTATAAGTCTAGAGTAATTGTGCTTTGGAAAAATGCATTTGACTTAATATAAAAATAATAAATACTGTTTTCAATAATAGGAAGAAAACTTATAGTAATAATTATAAAGATAAATAAATCACAAAAAAAGTTCGTTTCATACAGCTTGAGAATTGAATAATGGCTATATGTGGAGAGGATAACAAAAAAAAAAAGATTGAGAAAGTGATTGAATGAACCGACAACACATTTGGAGCTGAAGATCAGTGCCAGCCTTAGACATTCGGCGCTCCCGAGCAATGACATCATTCGCCCCAATCCCCCCTCAAAAAATTTAATTTATTTCTTAAGCTGTTTTATGTTATGTAATATTTGAATTTTAATTAATTCAACATTTCTTTAATACAGTTGCTTTATTAATATGATAAAATTAATTACTTTAATATGTTTTTGTATTTTTTTAATATTTTAAACAAGTGGAGAGAGCACCTAAAAATCGGCCGGCACCCCAATTTGCGCCCTTTCAGTTTAATGCCCTGGGGGCATTTTCCCCGGTTGTTCCACCCTAAAGCCGGCTCTGCTAATGATTGGTTATTGAAGAAACCAAAGGACATCCAAAATTTATTGTTTTGTTTGATTTCTTCTGCTTCTCTATTTCAATTCTCAAGTTACACCAAACATACTATTAGCACTTAAAGAAAAATATATCAAAATCTTATTCAAAATTAAACAATAAATACACATTAATCAAACACAAAGTGTATAGGTTTTATAATTTGGAAACAAATTTTCTATCTTTTTTATTATAAAGAAAGAAAAAACCCAATAAGACTTTTTTAACCGCAAACATACAAAATTATGTAATTATAAGTTTAAATGGAGAGAAAATATATAAAATAAAAATTAGACGTAAATGAATAAAACAAAACATCATTAAAACAAAGTTCCATTAATAAAAATATTCAAAATCTTACAAGCTCTGTTGGGGAGTGGACAAGGACCCCAGTCGACGTGCTGGTGTTGCATTTGGCTGGCATTGAATACTATACTCGGCCCTTCCAAAATACAACCAACGAAACCTTTTCCAACGACTAAGACTTCGTTGCCAGTTGTAAGATCAGGATCAGATAAAATTTCTGAGTTGTAAGTAGAATTGGCAATGACCTGAGAGCAAATGAAATTTATTACTTAAGCTACATAATTTAGAACTAAGCAAAAAAAAAAAAAAAATATGACAGATAAAAAAATAGCATATATGCTATTTCATCATATATGATAAAATACAGAAATTATTTTGACTACAAATAATTAATATAAAATAAAAAAAAAATCAAGCAAATTTTATCAAACATAATCTGATTACCTGCATATGACCTGAGGTAGATATTGTAAGATTTCCCATCCTGTACAGAATATTTACAGTGTGCCACTCATTATCTAATAAATTAGCAGATATTCGAGATTCATATTTGTGGTTGCGAATGTTAACAGTAAAAACCAACCCTTCTGGTTTAACATCTAAAGTGATTGAGGAATAAAGTGAAGGTCTGAAACAAAGATTAAATAAAATAAAAAAATGTGAATATTAACCAAATTAAAACTAAAAATAAAATCAATAGAACTAGTTTGTCCTTATCCTAAAAAATGATTCCATGAATGACTATAGTAATTACAAACACCTAACACTACTTCCTGTGTCTGTATGATAGTGACCAGTAGTTGTATTAAATGATTCCTAGTAATGAATGGTATATTTGGTTAAGACAAAAAAATCTAATCTTCACTAAATTTTCAGTTGATCACTTTTATACCTAATCCGACAAAATAATAATCAACATGTTAACATGATACCATAGATCTGTAAAATTATCCTATGTACACAACTAGATATATTGAGTTCTTCTCGGAAGATTATGTTTTTATAATGTACTTATTATTATTGTAGCTCTACAATATCCGACTAAGACTTTCCTGGTATCGCCTAATTTATTACTTAGGCTGTGTTAGGGAATCAAAAGTTATATTTATTTTATAATTATTTAATTGTTCACATATTGTTAAAATATTCATATGTTGATAATTATTATTGTTGTTATAAAAAGTCAAAAAGTGTAAAGTTCTAAAAATCTTTGTTCAAAGTTTTAGTGAAATAAAACCAACTTAATTTCAAAATAGAGTACTCAACGTTATTCTATTTCGAACCTAGGGATCAGTTATAACGGTTAGTTATATATTTGACCCCTAACCGAACAGGCTGTTTTATATTATGTAATATTTGAATTTTATTCCACTCAATATTTCTCTAACACAGTTAGTTGCTTTATTCTTCTTCTTCCATAGCTCTACAGCCCAGGGTGGGCCTTGGGTTTCTGAACAATAGCTCTCCAGATGCCTCTGTCCTTAGCTGCTTTATCAATAGGCTAAAATTAATTATTATGATATATTTAGTATTTTTTTTTAAATTCCTAACAAGTGGCGAGCGCCCCTGATGATCAGCGTCTGGAGGAAATTGTCCGGTCCTAAGCCGGCACTGGTCTGAACCTTGGCCTGCCTAAAGAAAGACATCAGTGATCACAGAGTATTCTGTAGACCTGACCTACGAAGTCGATTTACTTTTATCACTGAAGTGACAGGTATATCTTTACATTTATGTCATAACTCATTAAGTTTTACATTTTCTACTTATCTGAAGCATTAGAATCTGACAAAACATCAGTGTCTTTTTTCCGTTACTGTAAGTTTTTCCAACTTTCCCAATACGCGAAAAAAAAAAACTAAGGAGTCGGCAAACATTGCATAATATCTATACTAAAAGGATTACAGTACCTTCCTCCTACCTACTAGAGTGGGATTACAAATTAGATTAAGAGTTACCTCTGGGAGAAGAGGAGGCCACCCTTACAAGTGCGGAAGCTAAGGCCGATGTGCTTGTTCAGCATCAGGGGGGAGATGATGTTGACGTAAGAGCTGCCGTTGAAGTAGCCTTCCCGGGGGTGTGGCTGGCCTGAGCACATCTCCACTAGCAGCAGGGCCGTCGTCAGCCATGTCAAAGTCAGGGAACCTGCAACAAACGGGGAATAATATAATAAGCAGAACTATAACAATAAAAATAGACATCATTATCATTATTGAAAGAAGTTCCCAAAGAAACCTTTATATCTCTCAATCAGCGACAAATAAATAACGAGTACAAGGTTACGCCAAGCATCATAATGATAGAAATACATAAGTATACAGTAAAACCATTTTCGAATTAGGTATCATCTATATTATGAATTTTTTCCACTGTAAACTGAGATGTGCTGTATTGTATGATTCGAATTAATACGATCTCCTATTTTAGATAATTTTGATAATGCTAGCATATGAGGAGCGTTGACCAATTAATAATTCACTCCAGTTAAAGGTTTTGTAAAAGAATCTTCCAATAATAACCAAAAATCGCTTCTTTTTTTTTTAATTTTTGTCCTTATACATAAAAGACATAATACCTAAATAAAGTAATACCATGTTTGTAATTGAAGAAAGGAAATTAGCATATAGAACACAGTCAAACAGTACTCAGTCGCGTCTCATTTTTATTTATTATAAAAAACTATAGTGGGATACACGTCATTTCTTTTCAAAAACAATTCAAATTCAAGACATAATTCCGCAGATATTTCTGATACTACACCGAAATGAGTACAACTCTGGATGGATCTTTGGTTAGTACGTGCTGTTTCTTGAACAATGATTACATAGGGAGATCATGTGGTCAGCATTCAAATCCAACCACCATCCATTTCTAATAAAGGGCGTTACAGAGTCTTAGTGAGCATGCGGAAGGAGTCAACCCCAGAGTCAATCATCGGCGTGGAATAGAAAATATTTTTCGGCTACTTGCTTTATACTAAAATAAATTCAATATATATTTTTACCACGGCTACTGTTCAATTATTTAAAATATGTATTTAAATATCTATTTAGGCATTTATTTATTATTTAAATATAACCTTCCAATTATAAGACACAATATTAGTAGCACGCCGACAGAGACATATATTTTTATATTTAATCATACCGACATTTTTTACTTGAATATTATTTTCTTTTTGATATCTTTCAACATACAATATCTGCTTTTTTATATAAATATAAAGTATATACACCGTATTATGACTGAATGTAAATGTACACCCAATACAAGAATAAAAAGGAGACCCGAAAATAATGGCTGAGGCATCTGTTGAACATAGAACAAAACAGAACCGCATTTAAAGAATAACCAAGATGGCGATAGCAACATATGCGCCCTTCTCAAGTAGAATACTTTCTGACCGCAACATCTTCATTGGCTGCACCTGGCTTTGAGTGAACCTATCTCAATACTCATATTGAGATTGGGCTACAATAAATAAATGAAATCGACCAGTTCAAAGCATTAAGTATACTAATAGATTTAAATGAATCGTTCATAATACAATAAGTATCATTCTCTTTGATGGTAACATGTTATTTGAGCATGAAATGAGCTTATATTTGGTACAAAACCGATTTCGAGCCTTACTGTAATAATATATGTACGGATTAAAATCTATTTTAGTTTTAATGAGTGAGTCTGCAGCAATACCCAGAGAACCAAAACCTCCTCCGATATTTGTGAAAAATATAAAAAATTTCCAGATGTTCTGCACCCAACTAAATAAAATCTGCTCTGGCAGTTATTCATGCCTTAACAGGACCAATGACACCAAAATAACACCTGATTCTGCAGAAGCCTACCGAAAAATAGTGAAGTACTTATCAGAAACAAATGCGAATTTTCACACTTACCAGCTGAGGCAGGAAAGAGCTTTACGAGTAGTGATAAGAAATTTACACTCCTCAACCCCCACTGAAGTTATTAAAGAAGAACTAACGACGCTTGGTTTCAATGTACGCCAGGTAACAAACGTTTTGAAGGAGGACAGGGAGCAGCCAGGATTACGAAATAGGATCCCACTACCATTGTTTTTCGTGGACTTGGAGCCATCACCAGGTATCGAAAAAATATATGATATCACAAGAATATACTACACAATGGTGAAAGTTGAGAAGCCATATCCCAAGAGAGACATCGTTCAGTGCCATAATTGTCAGACCTATGGCCACACGAAGACATATTGCCACCATCTGCCGCGTTGCGTGAAGTGCGGTGAACAGCACAAATCTGTAGAGTGCACCAAACCTATACAAGATCCAGCAGTATGTGCCCTATGCTTGGAGGGACACCCGGCCAACTACAAAGGCTGCCAAATTTACAAGAATCTCAAAACCAGACACCAGAAAAACCGGATTCAAGATGAAGCACTAAGAACAAGAAGAGAGAGAGAGCCTTCCAGAATTGTAAACAATGATGTATCATTCTCCCAACTACTTAGAGGTAAGACTTTAACCGATAAATGTCAAGCCCTGCCACAACAACAACCTCAAACCCAACCTCAAAATCCTCTTCATCCTAATATACCTAACCACCAACAACAAATTCCTCATATTCCTCCTCCTTCAAATGCAACAGATCTCACAAGTTTGTTAGCATCTTTCCTCACCGATTTCAAATCCCTTGTTACTCCACTCATATCACTCCTCACGAATCTCGTATCTCACCTCATCCCTCCTTTGAAAAATCCTTAAATGACTCACATCCCTAAACCCGTATCCATTCTCCTTTGGAATGCGAATGGTGTTAGAAATCATACAGACGAACTATCTACTTTACTACTTGACAAGAACATTGATGTGACACTAATTACTGAAACTCGACTAACCACTAAACAGCACTTCAATATACCACAATACCTGACATATCGTACTGACCACCCTGACGGAAAAGCACATGCCGGTACTGCTGTAATTGTACACCAATCCCTCTCCCATCACGTACTCCCATTACCAATACATGATTTCCTACAGTCCACCGCTATCGTGATAAAAACCTTCTCCTTTCCGGTCACTCTTGCATCAGCGTATTGCCCTCCTAACCGATCCATATCCAATGCCCAATTCAGTTCTCTCCTCGACTCCTTAGGACATCACTTCATCTTGGGTGCAGACCTAAATGCCAAGCACCAACAATGGGGTTCCAGAACCACGAATTCTCGTGGCCGAACCCTGCTGTCTGCACTCAATTCCCAACGTTTTCACCTCCTTTCCCCCAACTCTCCTACCTACTGGCCCACAGATCCCAACCGTAATCCTGATCTTCTTGATTTCTTTATCCACAGCGGCTTTAGTCCCCTCAATTGTTCCATTACACGTCTAAATGAACTTTCCTCTGACCATAGTCCTCTAATCCTTAATGTTTCACTTGAACCTGTTCCCAAACCTTCTCCACCGTCATTCATTAGGGGCCCAGTAAACTGGGACCTTTTCCGCCAAATAATCTCCGATAATATTGATCTCAACATATCCCTCAAAACTCCCGATGACCTTGATAGTGCCGTAAATTCCTTTACTACCACAATCCAACAAGCCGCCTGGACTGCCTCCTTCCCAAAAGACTCCTCCAGAATTCCTATAAAGACCATTCTACCCCAACACCTCCTTAACCTAATCCGCACCAAACGCCGTGCCAGATTATTATGGCAACGTACCCGACATCCTACCGACCGCTGCTCCTATAATTACTACTGCAAACAATTAAAACTGGAATTAGCCACCTTCAGATCACAATCCTTCAACTCCTACCTATCCTCCCTCTCTTCTCGCGACAATTCCCTTTGGAAAACCACAACAAAAATCCTAAATCCTCACCGCATTTCCCATCCTCTCCGACGAGGTGATGGCTCCTGGGCAGCATCTGACGAAGATAACGCTGAGGAGTTCGCCATTCACCTATCCAATACATTTATTTCACATCCGGAATCCCATCCTGCCCACACCGTAACAGTAGAAGAACTCCTTACATCACCAATCCCACTTTCCTTGCCCCCAAAAGCTATTCATCCTTCCGAAGTAAAATTTCAATTAAAAAAACTAATCCCCCGTAAAGCTCCTGGACATGATCTCCTTACACCTCAAATCCTTCGACAACTTCCATCCAAAGTAGTCATATTCCTTACATATATCTACAATTGTATCCTACGCACCACCCACTTCCCTCTGTTATGGAAACACTCCACTATTATCCTTTTCCCAAAACCAGGAAAACCTCTCAATAGCTCAACATCCTATAGACCAATCAGCCTACTCCCAATCCTTTCAAAAATTTTTGAAAAGATCCTTTTGAAACGAATCCTACCCATTATAGAATCCCAAAATATCCCTTCCCATCAGTTTGGTTTTCGCTCTCAACATTCTACTGTTCAACAAGGACTCCGAGTTGTTGATCATATTTCCTCAGCCCTAGAAATCAAGGAATACTGTTCGGGTGCCTTTCTGGACATTGCACAGGCATTTGACCGGGTATGGCACTCCGGACTGCGCTCCAAGCTTAACATCCATTTACCTCAGTCCTTGTACCTAGTCCTCCGATCCTACCTCTCTGACCGCTCCTTTCGAGTTCGCTGTGGAACAGAATTTTCCAATATCTACTCCGTTAAAGCCGGTGTTCCCCAAGGCAGCGTCTTGGGTCCCGTGCTTTACATCCTCTTTACTGCTGACATCCCTGTTCATCCCGATACTTTTCTTGCAACATTCGCTGACGACACCGCAATCTTATCATCCAACTCTGATCCCGAAATAGCATCCTTAAATCTCCAAAGTCACCTCACCTTGATTGAGCACTGGTGTAATAACTGGCGCATTAAAGTTAATGAATCTAAATGCCAACATATTACCTTTACACTCCGACGCAATTCCTGTCCACCAGTACTCTTTAATTCCATCCAGCTTCCTTATTCAGACACAGTCCGGTATCTTGGCTTTCATTTAGACCGAAGACTAACTTGGAACCCGCATACTAGACTCAAAAGACAAGAACTCAACCGACGATACGGCCAACTATACCGACTACTAAGCAGAAAATCTAAACTTTCCATTGAAAACAAGCTACTGATCTACAAGACAATACTGAAACCTATTTGGACTTACGGACTAGAA